CCACACCCTGCACTTGTATAGGGATGACCACCTTATACAAGGAGCATACAGCATAAAACATTTTCTTCATTTTTATGTAATTTTCAGTCTTGAATTCTTCTTTGTATATGTCTTGTCTTATTTTACATTTTCATTAGTCTGGCTTTTCATATCTTATCTAGCAATTTTCTTTATCTAGCAATTTTGTCTCAAATTGCAATTTTTATCTTGTCTTGCAAAATATGCGGTCTTTACATATACATTTTCTTGTGTATATTATAATACAATACAGTTTATTCTGCACGATTATTGTATATATATTCTTTTATTTTGAATGTTTTTTTTTAACATATGTATATTTTCTCATGTTTGGGGACAAACATATTGGAGAAGGGGGGAATTTGTCATAGGTGTTCTTTTATGTAAACGTTTTAAAGTGAATTTTATTGAGAAAATATATTATTTTAGAAAATATGAAATTATGAAATAATTGTATGACAAATTTTAATTTAATTACTCAGGTAGATTTTGTGAAACATGTCGTTTGTTAATAATTGCTCTGAGCAACATTTTGGTATCTTGTCAATTGTCATTAATTAATATGAGCAATATTATGTTTTAATTAGTATCATAAATGTAATTAACTTGTATCTCTGTAATTGACATTATTAATATTTCACCTTTGGACATTGTAAACAATATTATTAATACTCAAATTATCTCAATTATCAAAATTATCAATGTCTGTCATTTTATGAGTAGTTTTCAGCATTCGCCTTTAATATCGGGGTCAAACATTTATTCGTCAGTCTAGTCTCATCGGTGTCATCCAGAAAAGAGTGCTTTCAAAGCCAACCAGGCTCAGCTGCTCAGGAGAAACGCCAACACAAAAGACTTACTCAATACAACTGTAACTGTTCAAACCAGGCAACAATAACTTGGAATATTTGGAACATTTTGGACTTTAAACTTAAACTGTGAATGGATTAGTGAAATTAGTGACTTTATTATTTGGAACATTTGGACTTTATTTATTTGTAAATCGTCTTGGCATCATTATCATCATTTAGATCTGTTATTATATAAAACTGTTAAACTTGCTGCTTGCTTTATAGTTTTGCCTGCCATCGCTCAAGTCTTGCAAAAGACTGACCTCCTGTCCCTTGGGTTGTGCATGTTCGATAGTCCTCCTTAAACTCGACGTGCACTGGCTCTTGGTGACAGACACCAATTATTGTCCTCAAACATGAAAAATGCTTGTTTTTGGCCCCTTTTTTCCCCCTTATTCCTTAACAGCTATGACAATAACCCCCAAAATTAATCCCAACCTTCCTATTGTGGTGTGGAACCTTTTGCTTAAATATCGACCAAATAAATTTCTCTTATACTCATGTTTATATTGTCTTAAAACCAGACAAATAATTGTTTTTGGCCCCTAATTACAAAACTGCTTAGACAATAACCCCCAAAAGTCAATCCCAACCCTCCTATTGTGGAATGAACATTGTACTAAAATTTCTTACACATCCATACACTCACACAAAAGTTATTGTCTGCGAACCAATTTATTTTCCATGAACCAGTAAAACTAACCTTTTTTGGTCCCTAATTACAAAACCACACGGACAATAGCCCCCAAAAAACAATCCCAACCATCCTTTAGTGGTATGGAACCTTGTGCTTAAATTTAATAGAGATCCATTAACTTATACCCAAGTTATTGAACCAAAATGTCTCAGACGCAGACAACACCATAACATAATACTGCGGTCGTATAAAAAGGTAAGATGGACCCTGTCAGACGGACAAGTACACCTTAAAATCATTCCATACACCAAAGATAGTTAACCTATAGCTTATAGTGTCATAGAAACAGACCTTACAAATAAAACTGAACTTTGACCAATGAACTATGAAAATGAGGTCAAGGTCAGATGAACTCTGTCAGACAGAAATGTACACCTTGCAATCATTCCAAACACCACATATAGTCGAGAAATGGACTGAACCATGAAAAAAATGAAAATCAAATATAAAAGGCAAGACCAATTTGGCAGACAACATGTATAATATTTTACAATGCTGACTTGTACGGAGCTAGGATGAAAAATTTTGTCCTGCATTTTTTTTTAACTGTAATCTCTGTCCTGCCTTTTTATTTTTCACTCTATTCGGTCCTGCTTTTTTTTTTTTTTAGTTTATCCTGACTTTTTTTTACCTAAATTGTCGTCTTGACTTTTTTTTTTGCAAGTGTCTCATCCTGCCTTTTTTTAACTCAAAACTCCTGTCCTGCCTATTTTTTTCAAATTTCATCCTAGCCCCCCCCCCATAAAAATCAAATGGTAGCTCCCTTAGCCATGAAAACACAGACGGAATAGAACATCCTGAATTTTACGGTGATGTTGTTTATCGAACCCGGAAATTTATTTAAACGATCCGGATAAACTTATCAATCCTTTAAATAAACTTATTCTAAAAGGTTACCACTTCAACACTGTAATTAGATCTTTGAATATTGTTTTTATTGGTATAAATTAGGGATGTCAACGAGTACTTGAGTACTCGAGTATCGCTCGGTAGTACCGAGTATCGAATACCAAAATGATACTCGACTAATCGGTTTCCTGATAGAATGTTGTTGCCTTCTTAAAGAAATACAATTTTTATTAAGAGCGCCTCCCGGGAAATTAAATATTAATCAAAATTAATCAAAATTAAAATACGTTTCGAATATTTGCGTTTTTAAAATTGTCATTTAAAATTCCTCCAAACATAGGTAGGCTATGAACAAAAGCACCTTTCCAAGGCTTACAATTTTAGCTGATTGTGTCTTAGTCATTCCACCACCTCTGTACTGTCAGAGCAAATATTTTCATCAGCAGGACTTTTAGTTGTGTAACAAAGCTGAGAAATCAACTCGTCGCAGAAAAAGCTGACAAGGTAATACATGTATTTCTAAATAAGAACAAATTCGTTGCACCTTGTGTCTGCCCTCGGGTTAAAGGCATCAGTAAGTTCTAATCATCACCCCTTTGGTGATCATTAAATATGTTTTTTTACGATTCCCAAATACTTTTGTTTGAGTAATCATTTTTCTATAGATTTTTATTAATTAATTGATTAGATCATTGCCAGTTTACATAATTAGTATATGTAGTAATTGAGCTATTAATTATGGTATAAAATTCCTGGGACTATTATCTAGTCCTGGGTAATAATGTTGAGGGTTTTACGTCCATAAGACAACGTCCCACAAAATGTAAAATTGATTTAATTTTGTATTTCCATTTTGTAGATGTTTTTCCGAGCGAGTACTCGAGTATCGCTCGGTAAATCCAACGAGTACTCGATTAGTAAATCTTCACCGAGTTGACATCCCTAGTATAAATATTGATTCTGTTATCAGTAAATTAAAATCATACTAAATAGTATTGTTATACACATATGCACTTTCACGGTACTACAATCTGTCGATACCTATATTTTGGCATTGCACAAGGTCATGGTTTTCTCTGAGTCTTAATGAAGTCTTTATACTAAATCCATTGGATGTTGGATGTTTACTGATTGATATATTAGTCTTAGATACATGTCAGTAACTGTGAGTACTCTCAGATCTGTAATTTGTGTCTTTTTTTGTTCTTAGCTATAGGGATGTATAAATACCCTGCCATGTCCAATCTGTGTTTTTGTTTGAAGTTTTTCTGCTTTGTATAGTTCTCATGAGTTAAGCCATTTTCAACTGATTTTTATAGTTTGTTCTTATGTTGTACTGTAACACCACTGTTTCAGGTTAGGGGGATGGTTGAGCACTCACAAACATGTTTAACCCCACCACATTCTTTATGTGCCTGTCCCTAGTCTGGAGCCTGTAGTTCAGTGGTTGTCTTTGGTTCTAGTCTGTCATACTTGTTTTTCGCAAAATGTTTTGATATAAATTAGGCCATTAGTTTTCCCAATTGAATTGTTTCCTATTTTTCATGTCAGGGCCTTTTATAGCTAACTATATGGTATTTGTTTTTTTCGTTGTTGAATGCCGTACGGTTGCCTATAATTGCTTATATACACTTCATTTGAACTTGAGTGGATAGTTGTCTCATTGGCAATCATACCTCGTATATTTATTTTTATATAGTTAAAAAAATTGCTTATAGAATCTGAGAAACATTTCATACACCAAATATAGTTGACCTACTGCTTGTAGTATCGAAGATATGGATTTGACCACAAAAACTTATCCTTGATCACGGATTTATAACATGATGTAAAGGTCAGATGAACCCTGTATGATGGACATTTAGGCCTTGCAAGAAACCCATTTATCAAATATAGTTATCCTATTATTCATAATAATTAAGAAATTCCCATGACAAAAATCTATAATTTTTCTAAGCAGTCGTTGAAACATAAAAATGAGGTCAAGGACAATGGATGTATGATAGATAGAAACTTTGTAAAATAGCACATATGCATATAAGGTATAAAGCATCCAGGTCTTTTATTACATATATCAGTGTCATGGTTAAAAGAATGAAAGGCCATAATTCCTGAATGGCAAAAGTGGAAATTGACAACATTGAACATGACTTCAATTTTGCCATCTGTTACAACATATTGGCAAATACATTGGTTGAACAGTTCCCAACATATTGCACAGAAATGACATAAATGCATTTTCCAATCAATCAAGGACTAACTCCTGAATGGCAAAAGTGAAAGTTTGAAAAGTATCAGATGAACTAGAACAGATCATTAAGTAAATGCACTGAAACAATTTGAACCGACTGCCATCCAGCTGTACATTCCTAGATCAATAACATAGGACATTTAATCCAGATGACTATGGTGACTGTCACAAATACATATATTCATGTGTTTTTCTTCTAAAAATGTTACTGCAAAATCTATTCTCCTTATTTACATGTCTTTATGTCTTATTTTTAAATATAACATCAATTTATCCATTGCCCTTCTAAAAAAAATTAAGTACACGAATATAATTTGAACAGTTTACACCTGTATATTTTGTATCAATATGTTTATTATCCATGTTATCCCAATAACTATACATACATCTATTTTTCACAACCAAGTGCATCAATGACCATTATCTGTCATTTTTACATGTATAATAAATTTTAAGCTTATTATTCATAGGTTAATACAGAAATGTTATTTACAAATTCCTATTTATTTAAAAATACAGTGCATCTTAACAATAAGTGTTCATCATCTCCTATAGTCTGTTCTTTTTGATGATCCTGATAGAACTCTCCCTCTTGATCCTGATCTTGCTCTTTGTTCACGATTCCTATCATATCGGGGATCACTGTCTATTGTTCGACCTTGTCCATTTTCTTTTCCACGTTCTCCAGCTGACAGAACTGGTTTCCTTCTCTGTTGTCCAAGCATAGACATTAACATTTGGAGCACTGCTGTAGGAGCAACATTCATTTTCAGCAAATCTAGTATTATCCTGAGAAAAAAAGTATCTCATAATCAAAGGGCTTGGCTTTGAGAGAAAAGTTAATAGTTTATCACAAACAATGGCAAATAAAGATATCATAAAAGGATGATTTTGAGTTCCCAAAAAACACTTCTTTGACCTCACCACATGTTGATGTGCCTGCCCAAAATCAGGAACTTTGTCTGTGTTTCCCTTAGTTATGTATATATTGTACATGTATATCAGAAGGGAATTGGATGTTTATGACAGGTCTCTGATTCTATCTGTTGGAAATTTTTCACCCTTAAACTCAAGACAATTCAGACTTGAAATATTCTACAGATGCTTGTCTCTTATTCAAGGCTGTGGTACATGTATGTTGACATTTTGATATTTTTTTGTGTCATTGGGGTGCTTTTTTTGTGGTGTATACTCAAAAACTCCCTTTGTTCATGTTTAAATTAGTTGTACATGTTGTTGTGTTGTAATTAAAGTCATAGGAAAATAAAGAGTAGAATTTTGACAGATCCAAAAAGCTAATCACTGCCAAGCTGCTGACATAATATGAAGTCACAGGGGGTGTAGGAGACAGGGCAAAAACAAACCCATATGTACCATACACTTTATGGCAAAAAAATAATGAATGAAGATGAAAGAGGACTGACTGACTTCTAGACTACATGTATTAGACATAAGAAAAGAGTATGTTTTTTAGCTTGTCAATTTCAGAAGTTTGGTCATTCTATTCAGTAATGCCTAAAAAAACTGTGACACAAATATTTGTTCAACTAACAGACAGAGGCACAAGGTGAAAATAAAAACAGTATGTGTTTGTGGGGCAAAGATGCTCCTTCCTATGTAACCCGTTTAAGCAACTTTAAGGGGACAAGCATTTGATATGTCTAAGGGGTTACGGATGATTTTGAAAATAAATGACCTCACATTGCAACTAGCAAAAATAAATAATCTTCCAAAGGGTGGCTTGGAAATAGTTTTACATCTATCTATTTATGTATACCTGTAATCATTTCTAAAATTCCCCCTTAAGTTAAATTACTGAAGTTATTGAATTCTCAGGAAACATAACTTCACTATTTTCTGCAGTATCCAAGAATCAAGTGAAATAATTCTGTAGACAAAAGTGAAATAAGTAAAATTTGGACTGAATCTGTGTTAAATGGGTCCTGAACTATATTTCTAAATTTAAAATAATTTGGTGGAGAGTTTATGTATATGTAGTTATAGTGCAGTTACAAAAAAAACATTTTTAATAGAATCAATATATCATGGGGCATAACTCTAAAAAGACCATAAAAATCAACTTGGGATCTTTATAAAGTGGTCCTAATTATGCTAATATTTCAAATGAATTGGTGAAGGCTTATTTAAGTCATTGTCTACACACCAAAAATATGGCTATTTTCCACTTTATCAAGGGGCTTTACTGATACTCTGGAAAGACAATAATGGTAGTTGTCTTTGACAATATTTCCATTTCAATTTCTATTGATTTGGTGGAGACTTACTAAGGTTGGCATCTGGAAGCCAATCTAAGGATATACCATGTACATACCTACTGTACATTAAACAATCAGGATATGAAACAAACAACTTTCAATCATGGCCTCTACAGATCTACACATTACATACAAGACTAAGAACTTACTTGAAAACACTTGGATCAAGTGTGATGCCTGCTAGCTGTGAAAGTTCATACAACTCTGCTTCATCCAAAGTGAGAACATTTTTACTCAGTAATGTATATTTGAGTGTTTGTTGTGACATTGTAAGATCAAGTCATTCGTAAACACCTGCAATAAATACAAAAGGTTGTGACATTGTAAGATCAAGTCATCAGTAAACACCTGCAATAAATACAAAAGGTTGTGACATTGTAAGATCAAGTCATCAGTAAACACCTGCAATAAATACAAAAGGTTGTGACATTGTAAGATCAAGTCATCAGTAAACACCTGCAATAAATACAAAAGGTTGTGACATTGTAAGATCAAGTCATCAGTAAACACCTGCAATAATACAAAAGGTTGTGACATTGTAAGATCAAGTCATCAGTAAACACCTGCAATAAATACAAAAGGTTGTGACATTGTAAGATCAAGTCATCAGTAAACACCTACAATAATACAAAAGGTTGTGACATTGTACATGTTGTAAGATCAAGTCATCAGTAAACACCTACAATACTACAAAAGGTTGTGACATTGTAAGATCAAGTCATCAGTAAACACCTGCAATAAATACAAAAGGTTGTGACATTGTAAGATCAAGTCATCAGTAAACACCTGCAATAATACAAAAGGTTGTGACATTGTAAGATCAAGTCATCAGTAAACACCTGCAATAATACAAAAGGTTGTGACATTGTAAGATCAAGTCATCAGTAAACACCTGCAATAATACAAAAGGTTGTGACATTGTAAGATCAAGTCATCAGTATACACCTGCAATAAATACAAAAGGCAATGAATGAAATATTAAAATACAATTTTGTATTCATGGTATTTGTACAAATATACAATGTATTATTTTAATATTATATGAATTAGACTTGGGATGTCATGGATATAGTTCTGCTAATTTGGCTTCTTATACATTTCTGATCTGGTTTAATATTTCAGTGTTTACAGGGACACATATTGAGTAGATTACATACAGCTATGACAAAAAAGGGTATGTGGGAAGACTCCATTTTGTGTAATTCCAAGATTAAACATGTTAAAGGAGAATTGTTATAAGACCAATTTTTCAGCACCTTGAATTTGAAAATAAAAAAGTATTAAAAATCTTTTTAGTATTAAACTTCCTTCATATGTTGTAACGAAGATAGTCTCCCAGATATCACATTTTCAGTATTTTTATTTTTGAATTTTCGCTTAAACATTTACTGGATAGCTTCAAACTTCTTCCACTTTTTGCAAAAGCTGCTAAATAGCCTCATTCTGAGATCTTGTCATTAAAATTAAGCAATGAACAAAGACCTTACATAAAAATGTATTTTGCTACATGTATAAGATGTCCTGCACAAAGATCTAAATAAAGGTAAAATGATTTATGGTAAGGTCTAAGATTGCATCTTATTTTGTCTAAAACAATATGTATAATGGCCTTTAAAGGTCAAATGTCAGTTGTTATGATGATTTGATGTCACAGTGACATCACAACTGACATATACAGTCAGGGGAATTACTGAAGTAAGTAATTTTTAAATCACTCATTTAAGTAGAAAATTGGTAATTCTGTGATTTTATAGTTTTATCAAAATTTTAAATATACAGGTTTAGATTATATCTAATTATTAGTAAAACTGAAAAAAATGGACCTTTTGCTTCTTTTAAGTAGCAAGGTTTATGCCGTTGATGCAGTCACTCATCTGTAAATTCTAAATTTGTTGAAAAAAATGCTATAATGAAGGCTTTACATAATGATCTAGTACTTTCTTAACAGATTTTTTCCAGCAGTGGGAGTATTTTTCCAGTAAAATTCAAGGTTTCAGCTTACAGATTAAATGCAATAAAATTTTACTTTCGGGGGTGTTGAAAATAGTGGGGGGTAATTAAAGAAATAATATTGAAAGAAGTGATTTTTTAAAAGAAAATAGAGGTTTGATTCTTAAACAAGTGATTTTCATGTTATTATCCCAGATTCAGTACAGGGTCATCACCTGACATGACTGGTCATCCTATAAACGCTGATGTTGGTTCTGATAATTTTAGCATCATAATTAGTTCCAGGATCATTAATATTATAAATTTAAAGCTACAATAAAATTCAATCACTTAGTCTAGTGATTTATTTGTACTACTTAAAAAGGTGATTATTAAAGTAAGACTACTCTTATTAATATTACCCAAGTCAAAGTGGACAGCAGTTCTTTAGCAGTTTATTAGCATTCACAGTTCTTACTCGACAGCTGTTCTTTAGCAGTTCATTAGCATTCACAGTTGCCAAATTCAAGGCAATAGTTAATTTGCATATAGGCATTCCAATAGCATTCCATAGCAGTTTCTTAGCAGTTTATTTAGCCTTCACAGTTATTTAGCAGTTATTTGTGACGAAAAATTTAAATGAGATACTCAAAAACTGCTATCTTCTCTGAATATTCATGAGAACTGTTATAATAACAGCTATCAATAATGAATATTCATAGAAACTGCTAAGTTGTATATCCTAATATGGTTTTCTAAACTGCTAATAACTGCTATGAAATGGAATGCTGTCCCAAGTCAGGAGCCTCTGGCCTTTGTTAGTCTTGTATGTTTCTTAGTTTTAGTTCATTTACATGGTTTGGAGTTTAGTGTGAAGTCCATTTTCACTGAACTAGCACACAATTTTATTTAGGGGCCAGTTGAGGACCACCTTCGGGTGCGGGATTTTCTCGCTGCATTGAAGACCCATTGGTGGCCTTCGGCTGTTGTCTGCTCTTTGGTCGGGTTGTTGTCTCTTTGACATAATTATATTCCCCATTTCCATTCTCAATTTTATTGTCAGATCTGTCAAAAGTTGGAATACAAAGGTACACATGAATATATACAGTGTACAAGATATGAATGCAAAAATAAAATTCTAATATTTTACTGCAAGTCTTGTCGAAATTTCAAAAAGTTGTACCAACTTATATTTGTAATTTGAGCAGTAACTGCAATCAAATGACTCTATTTTAATCCAATAACAGACTTGTTAAGGGGTGTAAACATGCTTTGTGAGTACTGTACCTGGCCTTATACCCCTTATTAATTATGTCAGTGGCAGAATTATAGGAACAGTTAAGCATTATAATGCACTTTAAATATCAGTGCTTATAAAAAGCAACTTATTCAATAAGAGTGGTTACTTAAGAGACTATTTATTACCTTGACTAATTGATATTCAGATTAAAAGTTATTTTATTTTTAGTATTATTTAATTACCAAATGTACTACTAATTTCTCTTCTACTATATATATTTTGTGTGGACCAAAAGAAAACAGTTATCTCCTCTTTCTCTTTTGGAATTAAACAAAATAATTCTTAATACATGTAATATATTATGTTTCCACTTTCTGAAACAAACTTAAGTAACATATATTAACTTCATTAAATGGATTGTTTGGTCAATATTAAACAATCAATATGTGACCTAGGTTTTCCTAATATTCCCTCCCCCTTTTTCAACTCTTGAATATGATTTATTTTTGGGTTTTTTTACAAAACTATACTAAAATATTCATATTTTTATTTTCAAATAACATCTTGCACTGTTAGTATATGCTAGTATTTTATTACAATCCTATCATCATCAGATATTCTATTTGAATAAACAACTATCCCCCCTTTTTTGGGCTTTCTGTATTATTTCTGTTTTTCCCTACAAAGTTATGTCAGAAAATACATGTGTATTATCTGTAACTTCAACTTACTGTACTGCAGGTGTGAGAAATTATTCCATTTAGCCCAAATTAAACTTTATAATTGACAAAAATACAGTTTTTCACTAGCAAGTATTAACACACAACTTGGAGCCAAAATGCACATTTGAAAATGATGAAATAACCTTCAAATAAAGGTTTACTATCAAGCTGAAAACACAGCCAGATCCAAGCATTTTTATAACAAAGATTAAAACCAAAACTGCTATCAAACTGCTATTGAACTGCTGTCATATCTGTTGTCAATTGACAAAAAACAGTTTAGAAGGTAGATCCAGACTGCTAAGAGGAATGCTAAGAAATGGTGAAATAAGGCAGTTTCTCAAACTGCTATTAGATGGAATGCTATGAACAGCTGAAAGACTGCTAAAAATATGAAGAACTGGTAAATAACAGCTAATAAACTGCTAATGATAGCAGTTCAGTTTGACTTGGGTAAGTACCATGAGTACTGGCAACCTTTCTGGACAAAAGTTACTTGAATAAGTGATTTAAGAAATCACTCATTGAAGTAATTCCCCTAAATTGATATATATCCTTTTCAGTTATATAAATATATCAATTAAAACAGTACAAGATATTTTGAGAGGATTGAAAAGTTTTACTATTATTGTATTTTCAGGAGCCAGGTAATAGCTAATATCACCCCTACTCCTATGTACAGAATTACATTTAAAACTTAAACATTTAAGATATAAGCTTTAAACTATAAATTTGCAAACAAATCATGTTAATGTTCTGACATCCTTAAAAAAAAACAGACACAACAACTGACATAAAAAGTATAATTATAATTATCATGATTATCACGATTATAGTTCAATATATCAAAGCATTAAATTTTAAAAGGAATACTGATGTGACAGTAAACAGAATAATTTCAAAAAATTAAAAAAGCAGGCCTAGGACTTTAATGCTATAACATCCACAAAATTAAGACATGTGTAAAACAAAATTTGCAATATATATATACTGTCATTACTGTGGTATGTTGAATTGCTTTTCTGGTGACTTGTTGCCTTTCAATTTTGGAAAAATATTGCAAAATATTGCTTATCTTCCTGGGTTGACCCCATGAGTTATTTCTAAAAAAAAATCAATATCCTTTGCAATTATACTTGATAGTGTCTTGATCATGACTTGTTTTAAATTTTGAATTTGAACTTACTTATTATTAAAGTTTTCATTATGCTAACTTTTATGCCTAGCATGTCTAGTCTTTAATGGAACCATGATGGCAAATTAAGTTCTTCTTTAGTAAATATAACCAATAATTTGGATGCGAAGATATCACATCTACAAAATGTATGATTCGTATATATACACTGTACCATCATAACTATCTGATTTTGTTACAACTTGTCTATGTATACAATCGATGTATACATAGACAAGTTTTCAATTTCGATTTCATGAATGGGGAAAACACGTTATTGGACATTGTGCTGTGAATATATAAATGTATTTATAAAATCAAGGATTTGCACAGTTCTACTATACAAATCCTTGATGATTGATTGATATTGTTGGTTGCTTAACGTCCAGTGGCACAATTCCATGACAAAATACATGTAACATACATAATTTGGTAATGGTGATTTTTAAGAATTATGTGAGCTATTTCCCAATTTTTTTTACGATATACGAAACTGATGTAGTAATAAAATTTAAAGTTATTTCATTAATTAAATTATTATTAAATTAAAAAAAATTAAATTAATCCTCTTCACCTTTCTACATAGGTAAAATCTGCCTCATATATTTTACTTTTGAAATAACCTTTCAATCATCAGTTTCAATAATTGGTCTTGATGTGTCTGCATAGATTGAACATATACATGTATATTGAAACAAGCCGGTTAGCTGGTTAGTGTTTGGACATACTTCACTTCACTTCAACCGGAAGTAGATATTTTGTCAACAAATGTAGGAATAATTTTTACTACGTAAAAATAATCCCCTGAACATGTGGTCTTTTTGGAATGGTTGCATGTATTTTTTTGTGCATATCTAATTTGAAAAATTTATTTGACTATCAAAATGATTTTTTCCATTGTAATGAATATAAATAGATTAGAATATTTCAACAGCGGAAGTCGTATGCATAAATGATATTCAGCGATGACGTTGGTCACTGTCATCAGACCATTTTTCGTTTGACTTGTATTTGCTGTCTTTTAATAAGTCATGGCCGAAACCAGGCCTCAACACCAAGCCCAATATAGAGGCTGGCTGTACAAATGGACAAACTATCTTCGTGGTTATCAAAAACGATGGTTTGTTCTTCAAAACGGACTACTGTCCTACTACAGGTTGGTTTCCTGATCTGGCTAGACCACATCAAAACTATATCCACAATACTTAAGTTAGTTTATGCTGAATGAGACAATTGCATTTACATTTTCCATATATAAATGGTCATATTCTGTTGAAAAATATAGACCTTACCTCTATTTTGGAATCTGCTACAGCCTACAGTTGACCTGAGAATATATAGACCTTTAATATAGCTATTTGGCAATCTGGAACACTTGACCTCAGAATTTGCAACACTCGAACCATTGAGGTCACACAACAATTGCTTTTCCTTTGTGGCATCAGACATGTTTTATTGTGACATCAACATTTTATGGAAACCTTTGTGATGTCCAGTAATGCCTAATGGTGGACAAATAGCAATCCGATGTATTTGCATGACCATGATGACTTGAACTATTGACAACATCACATAGCATTTAATGTTGATTCCTGGTCTAGTGCTTATGCTTGAAGGCTACAGTGCTGAAGGTCCCGTGTTTCATCCCGACTTGGAATGCTGAGATTTTCACCCTCTCACACATTTCTGGTACCCTGACCAAGTTGGTATGTTGTGGGCCTCGGTTGGTCAAAGTGGTCCCTTCCAAGTTGTCTGGTTGTTCTCTACGAGTATTTCGGCTTTCTCCACCATAATAACAGACTTCTGGGTGTCCTAACACTACCTTACTGTTGGATTGGGGATTTTTCCTTGGTGGTGGGTTATACAGAAGTTAGTGACACATCTCCATTTGTCCTGTAAGGGAGTGTACATGGATACAGTGAAACTTCTCTAAACTGGTCCCTTTGAATATCGGTTCTCCCCTCATACCGGCCAGATCAAGAAGTCCTGGCCGATTTGTATTTAATTAAATGGTCATGCAAATATTGACTCCTACAAGTCAATAAGTTACCAAAATTGGTAAACTTAAAGACCCAAGCATATTTATAAAAAGGTCATGCATCTACATGAAATTATGACAACTTTGAAAGACAATGCTTTGTCTTCTAAGGAAAAATATGCATGAGAGCCTAAAAAAACGGAGATAATGTTTATTAACCTTACAATGCAACCATCTGGAATCACACAAAATGAGGAAAATAATCTATGTTAAGTAAAAATGTTCAATTAGATAATTAATTATAGATAGCTCAGGTACTTGTGAACTCTTAGACAGGCTTAGGATGTCATAGGTGGTGCAGTTTGGCTACCAATTAAAATTAAGTCTTTTCATAAAAATAAATAGACCTAAACAAGTCTGTCATTTTCTGACTTAAATAAGTCTGAAAATGAAAGTACATTTTTATAAGAAATACATCTTTTGACTTATGCAAGTCAAAAATAAAAACCGACTTGTTTATGTCTGAGCCCTGACTGTTGAAGGGAAGTAACCCTTATGATTTCAATTTTCAACAAACCAGCCACAACCGCAAACTGGCCGTTTTCCGTGGTCCAACGGGTGGCGGGTTTTGAGAAGTTTCACTGTACCCTGGCAGCCTTCGAGTGGAGCTCTGAATAACGGAGGTATCTACCAGTACATACATTTCCTTTGTGGTGTTTAACATTTTCTATTGTGATGTCAAAATTTTATGGGGAACCCTTGTGATGTAAAGTAATGGCAGAGAAATTGAATACTTCCAGTTCGTGTACTTTCCTGTTAATTTCCATCGTCACAATGCTTATGTTATTATGTCACAGTACTTATAAACTGATTGTCCAATGACGTCATTCACACAGATGGACCTTTGGTGAACTGGTGCAACTCATTTAAAACAGCAACTTGAGATTAGTGTATACATGTCATGCATGTTGCGATGAGGTGTGTTGAATGTTCAATAACTTAAAAAATAATGGCATATGGTAGATTTACTTAGAAATGCCTTCTCTTATTTAGCTAACAATGGAATGGTGATTCAGTACCCCCAAAAAAACGTGTATACAGAGATATTTCAGAGTGAACCGTCATACTCCTTATCACTATTTGTCTGCCATTACTGGACATCTTAGAGTGACCAAAAAATTTTACATCACAAGAGAAAAGTGTTTTATGTATCACATTAGTTGTTCAAGACATCATGTACATGTGTCACAAACTTCCAAATAGCAATAAGGTCTATCGATACCGCTTAAACATGATTTTTAGATCCATGTCATATTGTATGAAGGTCTAGCTGTGTTTAAAATTTACTGAACATACATGACATAGAATAATGGTCAAAAAGTGCAGAATAAAGGTATAAAAATAGTGGGTATTGCTTAAGTCATTTTATGATCACTAATATACATTGTACAAGAAATGTATATTATGTTGTATATGGAGCATCTGGATGGGGTCTTCTTATCTTTTATTCTTAAATTTTTCTAATATTTTTGCCCATTTTTCTCTATTTTTTAAGATATAGCACCCAATTATTCTCTATTCTTTATTTTGTATTTTTTGCCCATGAATCTCTATTTTAAAACCCCATCTTCTAGACCCTTATGCATGAATATACAGTACATAATAAATTGCAGAGGCAGATTTAGGGGAGGGCAGAGTGCCGCCCCCCCCCCCCCCCCCCTTTTGTTGGAAAAATTTGATTGATTTGTAAGGGAATCACTGAGGCATGACTAAGCAGGCCCACTCTTATGAAAATTTCTGGATCTGCCACTGAATTGAATATGGTCAACCTTAAGAGTTACAATTTTGATTTATGTAACTATATACAAATTTATGTTTTTTTCAGAAACCAAGCTGAGATGGCTCACACCTGCAGGGGAACTATTAACCTTGCCAATGCCTTTATACATACAGAAGATTCCAATACAATTGTGATATCAAACAGCGGATCCTCTACATACTACCTGAAAGCAACATCGGAGGTAGAGCGACAGAAATGGGTAACTGCATTAGAATTGGCTAAAGCAGAAGCTGTCAAAATGCAAGATACTGGTAAGGACCTGAAATCTCACACTTAGCCCTAGTCTGTAAAATTTTTGATGTTAAATATGAATTATTCACACAGGTAACGGTATGTTTTAAGGGTAGAATAATAGATTACACGATAAGCCCGCGTTTTTCATCTATTTACACTTTTTAAGAGGAAAGTAAATTTCATTTTAACAAGCTTCACCACTGGGGCTATATTTTGATATAGTTGTCATGGTTACAGTGGAAATTTTATGTGAAGAAATTGAGGAACAGGAAATATAAGTTCTATAAAAATTTACATGTTTATTTGTCAACTATAAAAATCTGCAATTGTAAATTTTTATAGAACTATTTCCTGTACTTTAATATCTTCACATTAATTAAATTTCCACTATAACCATTATAACAATTATTGAAGTATTTGTAGAAGAAGAACTCATACGTAAAGCATGTATATTTAATAGTCATTAATGCTCTAACAACATGTCTAATAGGTAAAAATCAATAATGACAGTATTAAACAATCTACAAGTAGTGTTGATATTACATAATAAAACAGTGTTCCTATGCTGCATGTGAATTAATTAAAACTTGACAAGGTTTTGATCTTCTCTTTTACTGTGGAGGCTAGTCTGTTACATATATACTCAGCAAATCAGTTTCTGCACCACTTCTTTCCAGTTTGAATTATTCTCTAGAGTGTCAGAGTTCAAGCTTTCTACTAATCTTTAATATTTTAATAAGATTGAAGAGAGTGTGTAGGGTATAAGTCATTGAGATAGTTCGCATTTAACAAAAAAACTTGCGACTTAAATTGATTGTTAGTCTTGAGCGATTGAGTAAACTTGCGATCAATTTTAGTTGTAAGATTTTTGTGATAAAAGACACAGACAACTAAAAAATATGCATGTTTTTTTTAAATTATCTGTAATGACTAGACTAGAGGAATTTTCATTTTTGTAGTGACAAATTGATTTTTTTTAATAAAAAAAGAAAAATAACATGTTAATATTATTTCAGATATTTCTTATATTATTAAAAGAGATTTTCCAACAAAAATATTTTATGGATAAAAGAGATGCAGCAAAAGAATTTAAAACAAATTATGTTTGCATAGAAAGAAGTCTTTTTTAATATTTTTTATTAGAATGAATAGAGGGGGTAGGGTCAAGGACCAATTGAGTCGTCAACATTAACTTTTACAAAAATCTTAACCTCTGAAACTACTGGGCCAAATTTAAGTAAACTTGGCTACAATCATTATAAGGGTACATGTATTTTTTTTTTTGAAAATGTGTCCAATGACCCCGCCTGTCATCCAAAATGGCTGTCATGGCTAAAATAGAACATAGGGGTAAAGTTCAAGGTTTGTCTATTATCTTGTAAACTGCATAAAAAGAGAAAATCTGACAATTGCAAATATGCTTAGAATGATGAGATCTACCTATTGTCCATTTACATCAAAACTGTCGGATGACATATATTAGGAGTTATTGCCCTTAATTGACAAATTTTACCATTTTTTTTTCTAATTTTGTCTATTATCTTGAAAATTGTAATAGATAAGATAGTGAGAAATCTTAAATAGCAAACAAGATCTACAAATAAGTATGCATGGTCAAAATTGTCAGACAACTCCTTATGGGAGTTATTGTCCTTTAGCAAGACAAGATCTACAAATAAGTCAGAATATTTGAAATTGTCTGACGATTGTTTATTGGAGTTATTTCCCTTTACTGATGATTTTTACCAATATTTTGCATTTTTGCATAATATCTGAAAACTTTAATAGATAGATAGAAACTTAAATAAGCAAAGATGATCAGCAAGACAAGATTGGCAAATAAGTTAACAGGGTTGAAATAATTTTGAAGACCCCTTATCATGCTTATTGGAGTTATCACCCTTTAATGATGATGTTTACCAATTTTGTGTGTTTTGCCTACTATCTGAAAAACTATAAACTTATATAATTAAAAAAGCAAAAATAATCAGCAAGCTAAGATCTACAAATAAGTCTCGATGGCTATAGTTATCATTTCACACCTTATTGGAGTTATTGTTCTTTAATGACGATTTTTACCCATTTTAGTGTTTTATAGTGCCTATTATCTTAAAAAGTTTTATAGATATATAGCCACTTTAAATAGCAAAATTGGTCAAGAAGACAAGAGATTTTTGTCATGAATTCTAGTCTAGTCCACATTGCTGGAGAGTGCCCATTGTGGAAGATGCACATAGACCTACATGTAGGTGAGCGACATATGCTCTTTAGAGCCTCTAGTTTCATTTTGACCGTCATAAGTTTCACAAATTATCGACATTAAATCCACAGAATCCTAATGTAAGAATATAGATGCTGTGTGTTATTCTGTTCTTCAATATTATATTTCAACATACATGTTTGACAGGAAACTAGACAAGTGATATATATGTTTACAAGGAAGTCAGCTCTTCTACATTAATTATGTTAATTGACTGGTTGTTACGATATGTTTGCTACATTTTGGATGATTGTATAATGAGAGCAGGAAGTTGTATCCTGTTTACAATGGTATAAACGTGTAATGTTATTTTACATAGAATTTTACCTTTCTCGTAAGGAAATGCATGGCAAATTTGACATTGCAATTTTTGTGTTAAACAGGGAAGAATCTTTTTTTGATTTTTCACCTGAACACTTTTGATATCATATTTTCATTTGATATTTTTATATACTTTTATTTAGTATTTTGTATATTTTCATTTGATATTTTATATAATTCCTCCTTATGTAATAATGCTGTATTTTGATTGGATGAGAGACATGGTATTTTTCACCAATTTCTATGTATTGAGATTTTTTTTCTCTGCCGATGTATTTGTCATTTGGGAATTCCATGTGCCATGGTATTTGCTAGCAAATACCATGGCAGATGGGGAATACCATGTTTAAAAATTACCCAATGAAATTTTTTTTATTTTAATAGGACAAATTTAGGGTTATTCTTTATACATGCAACTCCTACAACTGTTCCAAATGGAATATTTAGGGGAAAAAAACCATCATTATTGAATTTGTAGCGAATGACATAAAAATTCCGCAAACCTGTACTTTTAATGACGTCATAAATAAAATTCAACGGAAACACATTGTCAACGTCGGAGATATATATACAGTCACTGACTATGGATACACAATTATCAGAAATGATTATTCCGCCAATGCAATTTGACTGCGCAATTTATAGCACAGCTGCAGTATATACAAAAATTATATAGTCAATTGGAAACTCCATATGATATATACCTGATTGCAATAAAATTTCTGAGGTGAAGATGGATACAAAGAACATTCGGTGGAATTAAACAATTATATCATGCTTACAAGGGGTATTTGCCAAAAATACCGATTTCGAGGTAAACAAATTTCCCTTGCCTAACGGCTCTGGAAATTTGAACCTCTCAACCGGTATTTTTGGCAAATACCCCTTGTAAGCATGATATATTTGTATATAATTCCATTTGATATTTTATTTATTTTCATTTGATACTTTATATAATTTAATTTGATATTTGATAATTTCATACATAGAAATATCTGAAATCATGTTTCTGTGTGTTGAATACAACACCTGATGAGGCATGTTAGGTGGAAATCAATCAAGTTTTGGTTATGAATGTCTTATATTAATAACTTAGATTAAATGCTTATGTAAGATAAAATCTTTGCAATACATTTACAAGCAGAACTTAAGCATGTTAAGTAGTGTGATGTTTAGGTCCAAACCTGTTCATATAAAATATTTTCGGGGGAAGGTGTCAGATATCACAACATGGGATTTTGAGTAAATCATGCAGCTAGGATTTCAAAAACAACCCGCTTTCATATATATATTGAAGTCTTGTGAAAAACACAACCCATAAATATATTTCATAGCTAAATCATAGCCCATTCATATATTTCTCAGTTATCATGATCATATATACAATTTTGTCACCTTTATTGAATTTAAAGGGATATAACACTTTTAAACAGCATATATTCAGATAATCGAAAGATGACCCATTGACATTTAACCTTCATTGACCTTGGTGAAATTGAAACCCATTCATAGATTTGACACGTCAAAAAACGGACTCATTCCAGCAGCACATATTTTTACGTTTTTCTTGGCCCTGATCCAAGATCAAACTTGCATGAGTACATAGTTTTGCAATCTTATTTTAACAACATTATTGAAACAAAGTAATAATGATAATAAATTCTTTTATTTAAAGAGGGTAAACACAGTTATTTACAGCTAACTAATCTTTCCTGAGGCCCTCACATACAAATATGTTTAATATCTATACGATCAAAAACAGATATTTTACACATAGTTAATTTAATGTCAATCATATAGTTCAATGTATCATTATAAATATGATAAACATGTTAAAGAGGTACACTTAGTAAAAAATAAAAAATAAAAATACAAAACACACAAATCAAAATAAAACATTGTAGAAAACAGAAACTTATCAGGATCGACTCTGTCAAGTACTTCTGTTTACTTTTAAAAAGTAAAAGTGTTATGGACTATTAACATTTTGTATAGTATTGATCAATGCACTATAAGATGAAAATTTCTATAACTGAAGATAATTCCAAATGTACAGTGTCAGAAAAATTTGAGGCACATAGGAATAAAGGAATTTCAAGTTGAAATACTAATGAAACTTCATGTGCATCATAACTAAATGTCTTTTTAATTAAAACCTTTTTTGTGATAACATTGAGGATTTGACAGAAAGCTGACCTATTGTTTTTGTTTTGTAGAGAGTGATGAGGAAGATCAGCCACAACCAGATAAAAATGAACTGCAGAACACGGTCAAACTTCTGATGTCGAAACTTGAGGACATGACAACTTGTAATGATCTGATAGCCAAACATGGTAGTGCACTACAGAGGGCGCTGTCAGAATTGGAAAGCATGGAGATTTTAACTAACACTGAACATGGGAGTAAAGCTAAAGTCATCAATGAGAGAGCGACAATGTTTAGAATTACATCAAATGCCATGATAAATGTATGTTATAAAGACTAAAAGTCATCAATACTATAAATTCAGAAATTAATATGTGCATTTATTATTGCAATTTTTTAAGAATTGACAAAAATGTGAGATTAATTATTGCAATTAATATGTATCAGATCAGAATGCGAGTTCTTATTATTGCAATTCTCACCCAGTCACATTTTTTGCATTGATAAAAACCTCAAGGCAAGATTTAAAGGGCATGAAGGGAGTCAATACAGTTTCAAGTAAAATATATTTTTATGCAATAATTTTGAACATGTTATGTTGACAAAGGTAAAAATTAAATTGTATTACAATAAAAAAAAACAGTAGAAAATTAACCAATATTTCTCATTGATTGAGTTACAAATTAAGTTGTTGTGTCAATTCTGAATTTCTCTAGGAATCTAGAGAACAGTATACAGTAACAATAACAGTCTTCAACAAGAGAGATATCTCTCATGCAATATCCCAAGTTCTTAATCGTCCTCAGTCTTATAAAAGTTGGGAATAGTTTAAACAAAAGCAATCAAAGATCTGCTTTTAATGAATGCAGACTTCAAAATAATGAAGAACAATTACATGGCTTAAAACGACTGAAAAAGTTATGACTTAGGACAGACACATATGTGGCTGGGTTAAACTAATTATTTTTTTTTAATCACAATCCTCCACGCTTTTGATCTTTTTTATTTTTTTAGAATTACAATACAATTTATTTCCAATATCCTATTACAATTACCTTAGATTTCCAGGAGAGCTCACTCCTGTCATGGGATAACAGGCAAGATAAATGTCCACTTTACTAATTAAATTACATATTGTAGCCTTCTTACACTTTTAACTATACAAGTTATGTATTTTCAAATGAACACAAAAGTCAAACACACCTAACATAATACATTAATTCAATTACACCAGATCTATAAACAGTAACACCTGTCTACATCAAGGTAAGTTATACATGTAAGTCAGTTTATGTACATTACTGTATTTTTGATAAACAATGTAAATAAGATGGTAGACACAATCACCAAATTCTTCTAAATTAAATGTAATCATATGTTAACTAAAAGTACACCCTTGACCTAGTTATTACATATCTTATCTAATGAGTGTATTACATCATTATTGATATCTGGTTCTTTATTTTGTGAATTGTTTAAATGTAGAACGATATTTTAAGTCCACAATAAAATTGTCTTAAAATTCTATTGTCATTGTAAGTGATGTTTTCAAACTTTATCAGATTTAAAACTTTCTTTTGATCTTGATCCATGGACTAACAACATGCTAAGCTTGGACTATTTTAAAAATTGTAAGCCTTCAGTTCTCTGTTTATTTTCACTGAATATTTAGATTTTACCTACTCATTTTAGGCCTGCACTGAATACATAAATTTAACATTTTTGTTTTAGTTCTGTACTGAATATTTAGAATTTACATTCTTATATTAGTTCTGCGCTGAATATTAATTCTACATTCTTGTTTTAGTTCTGCACTGAATATTTAAATTTATTACTTTCTTAATTTAAATCTGCACTAAGTATTTAAATTTTGCATTCTTGTTTTAGGCTTGCACGGAATATTTAGATGTAGCTCAGTCACAGACAAAGAGGTTGCAAAAACTGTTTGATTATGAACATGAACAGAGAATGAAATTAGAAGATATGGTGGAACAGCTGGCCAAAGAACAAGTTTCTTTAGAAGTACAAGCAAAGAAATCCTTACATTTACAAAAAAATGGAAAAGAAAAAGGTAGATTATTTGGCCTAAGTTTTGTAATCACTCACATGATTTCATGGTACTTTGTTCACCTAAAGGGCAAAATTTGAAGGTTCAATTCATATAAAAGACTTAAAATTGGTACAAGCTTCTTATCTGCTAAGCTTAGGACATTTTTATGCCCACGCCGTAGTGGAGGGGCCATTATGTTTTACCCTTGTTTGTCTGTCTGTCCATCCGTCCGTACGTCCCAAAATTGGTTTCCGTTCTCTAACTTTAGTTTGCCTCAACTAAATGTTATGAATCTTATACACAATGCTTATTACCACAAAACACAGATGAAGTTTGAATTTTGGTGGCGTCATTTTAACCATTCTAGAGTTATGCCCCTTTACAAATGGAATAAAAATTACTGAAATTTTTGTTTCCGTCCTCTAACTTTAGTTTGCCTCAACCAAATGTTATGAAACTTATACACAATGCTTATTACCACAAAACACAGATCAGGTTTGAATTTTGGTGGCGTAACTTTTACCGTTCTAGAGTTATGCCCCTTTACAAATGGAAATATTGCTGAATTTTATGTTTCTGTTCTCTAACTTAAGTTTGTCTCAACCAAATGTTATGAAACTTATACACAATGCTTATTACCACAAAACTCAGATCAGGTACAAATTTGGGTAGGGTCACTTTTACCGCTTGAGTTATGTCTCTTTATAACATTATATGCAAGCGGGGGCATCATCAGTGTCCCATGGACACATTCCCCATTTATTTTCTCTCAGAAATATCAAGCTTGGTTAGCTAGAAAATATGGAAGAAGACTGAATTGTTTATGTGGGATGATACATTGGTCTTCCTCTGTAGTAAAGTGTTGTGAGGTTTTGAGATAAAAATCTGGCCCTTCTGGTTCCTTGTTTATATTCATCTGGCCCTTCTGGTTCCTTGTTTATATTCATCACATCAGCTTGTTTTCATCCTTAATTGTTGTTGCATCCCAAAAATTATTCCTTAACACTTTATTTGAGGCATTAAACTGCAGACACTGATGTGGTAATGTCTTGAAAATTTGACAAAATTATGACCTAGATTTAAAAGTCCTAAAATGAAGGTGGACATTGTGTGAAAAAGTTTCTGGACCCTTCTAGGTCACTCAACATGCTCAAAGGCAGAAAATTTTTTTTTGTGCAAACCAGAAATAAAGAAACTGTTTAATTGTTTATGTTTCATTAAGATAAAGCAACACAGAAATAATCATTCATTTTAACAATAAAAATCAGATGGCACTTTTATCCCTAAGATTCCCAAACATGCAATTTTGATTAGAAATTTAATGTGTTATTTTGCAAATATTTATTTATAAAGGCTTCTTCTGGTTACTATAGGAATGTTTTGTAATTTAAATTATAACCATTTTTCAGGAACAACAGGTTCAGATGAAGACGATTTCTTTGATGCTCTGGACTACCATGCAGATGAATTTGAAGTAGCTCTTCCACATGAAATAATGACTCATAGGTAAAAGTGTGGTATACCTTATCTACAAAACATAAAAGTCTATATAGAAAAACCAGTCAAATGTACAGGTTATTCCTGTGTTTAAATCAGAGAACTGGTCCCTCATATATTTAAAAGACTGTAGAAAGTTGCTACGGGTTGTACAATTTAAGTTTCACAGAGGAATCTTGATCAATATATGTTAAAAAAAATCTATATTTTTTATTGGGTGGGGATATGATATGGGGTCTGGGGAGGCTGGTATACCCAGATAAATATTAATGGAATAGCCTTTAAGGGAGATTCTCAATTTCTGTCGGTTTATAGATTTTTTTATCTAACAAATGTCTTGAACTGTTCTATTTTAAATTTTGGAGGTTACCTATTTATGGCATAGAAAAATTCATGTAGTTTGCACATACGATATTGCTTTATATTTTATTTTTTAAGCAAGTAGAAAGTTTTGAATAACCCCCCCAAAACCACCAAAGATAAAGAAAATGAAGAATAAACAAGAAAAAGTACATCTTGATTAACAATTTTGACAAACAATCTGTTATTTCCTCCAAAAAATTTTCAAAGATGTATAAACTAGTACTGTAGATTCTGAAATGTTTGCGTGCATTTATTATTATGATTGTTATACAATGGACAAAAGTGAGAGATTAAATATTGGGATTTTAGAAAATACTTTTGATGAATAATGCTTTAAAAATTTATAAGACAATTTTTTATTTCTGAGAAACCTATCCCATAGGCCTTATTGCTTTTTGAAAATCTGCATCACCTGACCTGAGAATCTGCGATACTTGAACTTTTGACTTCATTCAACAATAATTTTTCCTTTGCGGCGTCAGATATTTACTATTGTCAAAAATTTTCTGGGAACCTTTTTAATGTCGAGTAATGGTGCACAATTAGCGTTAACATGTATTTCTAGTTTCGTAATAATAAAAACATCGCATAATTTTCTGAATTATGTTTCAGGAGGATGCTGAGTGACACCAGTGAAGATAGCCATATTATCCCCGACGACAGAAGTAGTAATGGTAGTGACACTGAGCAAGATGGCCAGGAAGCTCGAGTATACTCACATATTAATAAATCTGATAGTCCTAAGCGAAGCGTAGGTTATATAGTACTGAGAGTTTTGCATGGTAGTTCTTAAACACTGTTTTCATGGTGAAGGAAATTTTTAAGTTTTCCTAATTTGATTTTAAAAATCTTGTATAGGGCTGGTCCATTAAAACATACACGGTACCCAGGGAAGGCACTTTAAAAATGGGGTAACCACCTAGAGAGGCAAATTAAAATTTCACTTACATTTCCACTATTTACACCCACCCATAGTTGCGATTTGGAAGTGTCTTCCCTGAGTCCCATGTATGTTTTATGGAACAGCCCTTAGTTTTTTAATGTTTCGTTCTTTATTTATTTTTATACTTATTTCCTACACCTTAATATCAGTTACTTTTACTCTAAATTTGGCCCTTATGAAGTCATGTTTTTGTTATTAAGGTAAGATCTTGTACTGATAAAATAAAATTCAAAACAATTTCCACTTACATCCACTTTATTTGAACCTTGATGGATAGTTGTCTCATTGGCAATCATACCACATCTCCTTATTTTTATATTGTATGATTTCCTATGCTGAGGCTTACTTGGAATTCCCTGCGACTCTTTTCACAAAAAATCTTACGAGTAAAATTGATCGTAAGTTATACTGAAATGTGTATGACTTACGAGTATTTTCACTCTTAAGATTTTTTGTGAAAAGAGCCGCTGGTTTCAAATATGCTGAATTTTAGTAATCATTCATTTGTAGAATGTAGGACAGAAAGTCACAGGACAAAAAGTCACAGACAAAAAGTCACGGACAAAAAGACACAGGACAAAAAGTCACAATTCAGTTATGAGATTATTTTTCTTTAAACAAGAAAACACTAATTTAAAAAATTAAATTTTTGTTTTTTCTTGAACTCTTATATATGAAGCAACTTTGTAATTTAAATTTATTCAATAAATATCAATAATGATTAAATAATTGTTATGAAAACAAAATGTCAAAGTGGCTTGGTACTTAAATGGCTTCATTGTGCCAAGAAATATATCCTTTGCATGATTAAAATTTATAAAATTTTCATTTATCAAGGCTTATGAACAATTTCCTAAACTTAAAAATGAATATATGTAATAAAAAGAAAGTATTTCAAGATCCTTCTCTTATATATTCAAACAATTGTCAACAAATTATTTGTGACTTTTTGTCCTGTGACTTTTTGTCCTATCAAATTTGTGACTTTATGTCCTGTGACTTTTTGTCCTGTGACTTTCTGTCTGTTTACCCATTTGTACACAGGCACTAAACTTTTCGAGATAATTTTAATTTTAAGTAAGAGCAAGGTTGGGCGGTATTTACCACCCCCGGTATTTACCAGTGGTATTTACCGCCCCGGACAATACTCCCCAAGTGGTCAATACTGGCAAATACTGGTCAATTGAAATTTTCATGCTTCTTTTGACTGACTTATCTATCAATTCTAGTAAAAAAATGGTTGATGAGGGAAAACTTTATTCCTTTGGCATGATTCAATTTATAAAAATGAATGATATTGGTATGTTATTAATTATTAAAACATTAAAAATGACTAATTTAGTTCTTAGGGGTAATGATATTGCATACTTTTGGTATACATATAAAATTGAGCAGCTATATCAGTTATTCTAACATGTACAAAATGATGTATAAATCAAGATATTTTTTTCTTGAAAAGGTTTGAATTTTACAGGTAAATAGAATTACAAGTGACTAGCAATATAGATTATCAGAACATTACCTATTATATGGCTAACAGGTGTCAAAAGTTTAATTACTATAACAACTGTCCCCTAATAAATGTTGACATAACAGGAAAAAAGTCATAAAAGTGATTTCCAAAGATTGTTTTAAACAATGAATTAATTCCTGACTATTCAACAGCATGATAAAAATGTTCTAAATGCAGGAAATGTTTTTTTTAATAAATATATAACATATATTTATATAAAACAATTTTTTTTAATTTTTTAATTGCATCTTTCAAAATAACTGTTAAGAAAATCAGATGTTATATAGTCTCTCTTAAGTGACTGACTTCATGGTGTTAATGACTATATCTGTTGTATTATTAAATTAATATTTGATAAATCTTCATTAAACCATGTTCATGAACTAATTAATTGTGACTTTTTGTCTTATTACAATGTGGTAAATAAGTGACTTTCTGCCTTGTGACTATATCTATCCATTTACCAAGTAATTGACCTGAGGTAGGGACTAGTTTTATAGTAAAGTCCTATCAAAATTTCAATTGACCAGTATTTGCCAGTATTGACCAGTATTTGCCCGTAAAACGGGGCCGTATTTCCCGGTATTTACCGGTATTTACCGCCGGCATGGTCAATACTAGTATTGACCGCTTTTTTGCCAACCTTGAGTAAGAGCAATTTACTCCTTGTTTAATTTTAATAGACATACTTCAAAACATGACCAACCAATGTTAAAGCCTAAGTGGAGTTGTAAACTTGATATGTGCCTGAAAACTTCCAAATTAAATTTTTTTTTAGAACATCTAAACAATTTACAGAAAAGTTGAAAACATTTATGAAAGTAAAATTGAAATCAGATATATTCAAATATGTGATAAAATATAAATTCAAATATGTGATAAAAAAAGTGAACACTAAAATATACTGCTTCTTTCCATAAATAGATATAAAGCAAAGCCTTGTCCAGGTAACATTTGGAATCATGGGACTTCCAAGTGGAACAACTTTGTATAGAACATTTTTTGCTGTCAGATTTAAAAAGTAAATGGGGACCTTCACAAACCTTCCTTTCAAAATTTCTTTTTTTATGCCCCACCTACGATAGTAGCAGGGGCATTATGTTTTCTGGACTGTGCGTCCATCCGTCTGTCTGTCTGTCCCGCTTCAGGTTAAAGTTTTTGGTCAAGGTAGTTTTTGATGAAATTGAAGTCCAATCAACTTGAAACTTAGTACACATTTTTCCTATAAAATGATCTTTCTAATTTTAATGCCAAATTAGAGTTTTGACCCCAATTTCAAGGTCCACTGAACATAGAAAATGATAGTGCAAGTGGGGCATCCGTGTACTATGGACACATTCTTGATTTAATTTCTGTTATGGTTAATTATTTTTTGCATTAATGTTTTTCCAGTTTAAGTACCAAAACTTTTAAAAGGAATAAAAAGCTCCTGTCTGTAACCATACAAAATTTCCTTCATCATTGGACACCAAAGAATTTGTATTTAGTTTCAGTTTTTAGTTAATCTGCTTTCCACTATAGTTTGCTTGTGTTATATTTCAATCTTTTATTGCGAAAGAAATGATACTTTTACACAGATTCACTTGATAGTTACCTGTCGATTTAAACTTTTGTAAGTTCTTTTGTCCCATCTAATAAATACAATAGCTATTGTTCTCTGTGGAGTTTATTCAATGGGACCTTTAAATTTCTTCTAAGAGAAATCTATCACTCATTGATTGATTTACCTGAGTAAAAAAATTATCTTCTAAAAGATAAAAATACAGTTTAACATTAAAAAACTGCATGTGATTTTGTATTTATTCAATATCAATAATGTTCCATCTGTTGAATGTAAACAGTGATTCAAACATAAATAAAAGTTGATTTCTGACAAAATTCTAACAGTGTTCCTATTTAAATTTTTTGTTTGTTTGTGTGTTTGACAAATAAAAACTGAAAAATGATGATGTTTATATTAAGGCCTTCCTAAAAGTATTCTATAACTAAACAAAAACAAAAAATGCAAATTTCAATAGGAACAATGCAAAAATTTTGTCAAAAATCAACTTTTTATGACTAAATCAGTGTTTATTTTGAACAGATTGAAAAAAAAATATTATTGATATTGAATAAATACAAAATCACATGCAGTTTTTTGATTTGGAACATGTAATTTTATCTATTTAGCAGATAAATCTTTTACTTGGGTAAATTAATCAAAGAGTGATAGATTTCTCTGAGAAGAAATTTAAAGGTCCCAGTGAATAAACTTCACAGAGAACTATAGCTAAATTGGACAAAAGAACTGCCAAAAGTTTAAATCGACAGGTAACTATCAAGTGAATCTGTGGAAAAGTTTCATTTGGTTCGCAGTAACACTACTGATAATTTTCAAGTAATACAAATACTCAATGATGAAATTTATAAAATATTTACCATGCTTTTAGATCTAATCAGTACTAGCTTGCCTACTTTACTGCTTGTGTACCATTTTTATTTATAAATTTTATTTTATGCTCTGTTTACCTTCTGTGCATTCTATAGTTTTTGTGCAATAATAATTTTCATGGATAATGGGGAATGAGGAATTCAAGTGTTCAATGAAATACCATTTTCCTATAGGCTTGTATGTTAGATTGATCAAACCATGAATTTATGTTTTCACTAAAAAACAATATTTCCACGATCCATGAAAATTGGTACCTACAAAAATGAATGAATCCATAGTTATATACATTTTATTATTTTTGTAGATTGGATCTGTAGCCATTTAAAAAAAAACTCATTTCTGATAGCTGCGGTTTGAAATAAAAAATTGTGGTTTGATGATAAGCTTATGTTCTTTTAATATACATGTATTACAAATATAAAGCAATATTTTGCTATTGAACAAGTTTTAGCATGAAAACTTGCAGTTGTGTTTGTTTTTTGCTTCTTTTCTTTTTTTCTGTCACTTGACTTAGTTTTCATACTCTTAAGATATGAGGTATTTTAAATGTTGGGTTATCTATTAAAAACAAATTGTTTGAACTGCGTATCAGAAACAACTTTTCACGTCTGAATTTATAACAGATTCTTAAAGTATTATCTGCATGTGTTATCAGAGCGGTCAATTCTTTGGTACACATGAAACAATTGGGAAAATTTTCTATAGTTCATATAATATTTCATAACATTTATTAATCTTAAATGTTGTTGATTCCAATATTCATAGTTTAAATAACAAAACTTTGTTTTTCAAAAAAGTAAAAATATTGACTATAATATAATTTTGAAATTGTATACACGTTTTTATTCATGTAATTCTTTTTAACAGAGTTCCGCAGTGGCAACTGTTGTAAAATCTACTCATAAACGAAATCTTAGTCAAGAATCTATCAGAAGGACAGAGTCGGTGGAATCCAGTAGTTCAACAAGCCAGAAACGTTTCCGGCGACCTTTGATACCACCAAAACCTAGCTATAGTCTTAATTTATGGAGTATTATGAAAAACTGTATTGGAAAAGAATTATCTAAAATACCCATGCCTGTAAGTTGATGAGTGAAATGAAAATTAAATAATTTTCTAAAATTCCCATGTGAGTAAGTTAATTAGTGGACTGAATATGGAATAATATTTCTGAATTACCAATTGGTGCATTGAATATGACTTCATTTTTAGCTCACCTGACCTGAAAGGTCAAGTGAGCTTTTCTCATCACTTTGCGTCCGTCGTCCGTCGTCCGTAAACTTTTACAAAAATCTTCTCCTCTGAAACCACTGGGCCAAATTTAACCAAACTTGGCCACAATCATCATTAGGGTATCTAGTTTAAAAAATGTGTCCGATGACCCCACCAACCAACCAAGATGGCTGCCATGGCTAAAAATAGAACATAGGGGTAAAATGTAGATTTTGGCTTATATCTCTGAAACCAAAGCATTTAGAGTAAATCTGACATGGGTAAAACTGATTATCAGGTCAAGATCTATCTGCCCTGAAATTTTCAGACAAATCTGACAACCCGTTGTTGGGTTGCTGCCCCTGAATTGGTAATTTTAAGGAAATTTTGCAGTTTTTGGTTATTATCTTGAATATTATTATAGATAGAGATAAACTGTAAACAGCAATAATGTTCAGCAAAGTAAGATCTACAAATAAGTTGTCATGACCAAAATTGTCAGTCGACCCCTTTAGGAGTTATTGCCCTTAATAGTCAATTTTTAACAATTTTTTGTAAATTTTTGTAATCGTTTACAAAAATCTTCTTCTGTGAAACTACTGAGACAAATTTAACCATACTTGGCCATAATCATTATTAGGGTATCTAGTTTAAAAAATTTGTCCGATGACCCCGCTTTCCAACCATCATGGCCGACTTGGTAAAAAAATAGAACATAGGGGTAAAATGCAGTTTTTGGTTTATATCTCTGAAACTAAAGCATTTAGAGCAAATCTGACAGGTGGCAAAAATGTTCTTCAGATTTCGATTTATCTGCCCTGAAATTTTCTGACAAATCCGACATTCCGTTGTTGGGTTGCTGCCCCTGAGTTAGTAATTTTACAAAAATTTTGCAGTTTTTTGTTATTATCTTAGATATCATTATAATATCTAATATCTAATACTATTAATTATGATTTTAACCTTATTTTACATGATTTCCAAAGCATCAGTAAATACAGGTGAGGGACACAGGCTCTTGAGAGCCTCTAGTCTTGACATACCCATGCCAGTTGTCAATTTGAGAACTTATTATTATAAAATAACTAATTTTTGAGAACTTGATAAAAAGATGATTAATTATTATTTCTGTCAGTAAATTGTCAGTTGAATAAGAATATACCCTACTTATCCACTTAATGAGCTGAATAAGGATATGATGAAATAAAAACATTAATTTATTGAACTGATATAATCTGAAATAATTAACAGATAAAGTGAGGTAGTAAATTGGATATCAAAATAACAAACTATTCAGTTTATAGTAAACTGAATATAGAAATGATTCATGAATATATTGTGTATTCAGAAATTTCAGAGATGTTTTTATTTTTACAAAAAATGTGTCTGGATTTGTTTTGCATTAATAAGATTTTAAAAATTCTTATTGCATTATTTCATTTGTTTGCAGCATTTCCTGAATTCACATCAAAAGCTCACATTTTGGTTCCTGGGATGGGCATTCTTAATTCTCAATAATTTTAAAAATGCATGCAAATAATTAATGAGTTAATGTTCATAAATAAAAGAAGGAGAAAAAACAATTTTCTATCCACTCAGAGATTTAAAAAAAAAAAGAACTTATCTTTTTCAGGTAAATTTTAACGAGCCTTTGTCAATGTTACAACGTCTCTCAGAAGATTTTGAATATTCCCGCTGTTTAGACCGAGCAGCTGAATGTGAAGATTCCGCAGAACAATTAGCCTACCTAGCTGCCTTTACTATTTCCTCGTATTCCACAACAACAAACCGTAGCACCAAACCATTTAATCCATTATTAGGAGAAACTTATGAATGTGATAGGACGGATGATTATGGCTGGAAATCTATAGCAGAACAAGTAAATACAATAATAATTACTGTAAATTATGAAATTTTGCAATGTTTTTTTTTTTGATTTTGCAAAAATTGTGACAGGATAGGTTTTGCAAAAAGAAAAAATCGCATTTTTAAATTAAAATATTTGGCATTTTCTAAAATTGCACTAATAAATCTCACATTTCTGTCCATTGTACAATATTCGCAATAATAAATGCATGCACACACTTTTGGAATTACCAGTAGTTTACTTATGCAGTCCGCATTACCTGCCAACTTTTCAAAATCTCCATAGGGGATTTAAAGAGCAAGAGGACCTAATACTCCTCTTATATTGTCACAAGTGTTGTGTAGTCTACTACAATGTACTATATTGTTTAAATTAGTATGTATGTGCTTAAATACCCTTTTGTAACTCATTTGAATGCCTGTTTTGAGGTGTTTAGTTTATATAATTAAGAATTTTAAAATTCAGGTCAATGCCTCTCAGAGGGGAAATACCCCATAAATCGTGAAGGTTGGCAGCTGGGGTGGCAGTGCAGTTTTTCCTATGCATGAATGCATTTCATGGGAATTTCATTGTTCAAAAAATTTATTTTTTTTAAATTTTAGATGATCTGTCATGTACACCAAAAAAGCTTTTCAAGATTTAACAAGAAATTTAAACTTTATAAGCAAAACTCAAAATATGTGTTAGCTTAAAGAGTATCTACAATTTTGGATATATTTGGCCACATAAATTTGTAAAATGTTAATTTTGGCATCTTTAGATTTTGAAGACATTCAGGTATTCATAGTTCAAGGGAATGTGTGAGCTGATGGCTTCGGTGACACTTTTGTTGTTGTTAACATTGTAAAATTAACAGAAACTTCTAAGATACCTGCATTTTTTACTCATACTGTAGCTAAATCAACATAATCTGCAGCCAGTAATCAAAATTTTAATTTTAAAAGAAGGTAGAAAGTAAAATAACAAAAATACCAAACTCAAAGGAAAATTCAAAACTGAAAGTCCCTTATCAAATGACAAAATCAAAAGCTCAAACACATCAAACGAATGGAAAACAACTGTCATATTCCTGACTTGGTACAGGCATTCCTAATGTAGAAAATGGTGGATTCAACCTGGTTCTATAGCTAGCTAAACCTCTCACTTGTATGACAATTGCATTACTTTCCATTATATTGACAACAATGTGGGAACAAAACAAACAGACAGATGGTACTCCTTTAAATTCAGAATTTGACTTGCTACTCTTTGATAAAAGTTTGTATGTTTTTAATAGCTATTTAAATTCTAGGTTAGCCATCATCCTCCAACAGCAGCATTACATACAGAAGGCCGTGGCTGGGCCGTCTGGCAAGAATTTACAATGGCCAGCAAATTTAGAGGAAAATATCTTCAAATCATACCATTAGGTAAACTCATGGTAGAATATGCATATCAGATTTTTCTTCTCAGGTTAGGGGCATACCCTTATCTGGTGCTCATTCCACTGTGTAAAATTATATATCCTAGCAACTGAACATTGATCCTTTTTCTGTTAATGCAATAAATATAAGATAGCACAGAAAAGTAACTTTACATGTGGTATGTATAAAATAGAGAAAAGCTTAATTTCTGTTTTTTTGGAGTAAGATTGTTATTATTTATCCGATTTCAGATATTGCATATACTAAAATTGCACTTCAAAATAATTGTTGGTCTAAACTGTATTTGCTGGGCAGCTAATAACTGCCTGACACATCAAACACTATTCTTAAATTTTTAAGTAGCTAAGGATCAAAGAAATTGTAATTATATTTCTGTTCTTGCAATTATATGTAAAGACAAAAAGTTTGTGATCTTCGCAGTTCAGTATTTTGCACAATATGGATATATGAGATTTACATAGTGGATGAGCTACTAGATTAAGGATTTGTTGCCAAAATCTGTGAAGTTTGTAGATATAAAGCTTGATAGTATACAGGGCTGTTGTAGTGTATGTTCTACTTTTAGGTTAGTCATCACCCTCCCATGGCATCTCAGCATTGTGAAGGAAGAGGTTGGGAAACGTGGCAAGAATTTACAATGACTAGTAAATTCCGAGGAGCATATCTCCAAATTATACCATTAGGTATACTGCCTGCTATCCCCTGTTGCCCTTAAGCAGTGTTAAAACTACTACAGTCAGTCACCTGATAAGTGTCAAAATTCTTTAAAAGTTTCATGTGTATTTAAGGTATAAAAACGCATGTGTATTTAAGAATCATTAAAATCATTCATAATTAACATTTTATTGGTTTTGATTTGACAAAATTTGTCAGTTGGAATATATTTTCTTTTGATCTTCTTGTTTTTAGACAACAACAAAAATTACAATGTGATAAAGCTGATCAAAGTAGGAGGTATTATGAGGCCACTATTTTTTGCCACATGAATTAGAAAATGAAAAAGTATTGTAAATCAAACAGACAACATCTTTCAAATGTTCAAAAGAAAATGGTCTGTATCAGATGTCAGTATTTATATTATTAAATTGTGTCTTCTAAATTTACTTCAGAGCTTCAATCTTCCTGCATTTCATGCAAAACTGCAAAAAATGCCATTAAGATTACCTCATTTTGAGATCTTTGTCATTTATGTTTTGATACGAGCCAAATCTTTACCCAAAAAGATATTTTGCTGAAAGATGATTTAAACAAAGATGTTGAGGGTTAAAATTTGAAAAGCAATTTTAACAATTATAACGTTAACGTCATGAAAAGAGATCAAAGACAAATATTTTCTGCTGTTCAATTTTGAACAAGTTGCATTCAATATTTAGTGCAAGGTTATAAGCCTAGTTCTGTAGTAGTTTTTACATATGATACTGCACCTTGTTGCAGCATGAATATTTCTGTATTTGCACCATTGTACAACTCCTCAAACCCTGTTAATTGCATTTATCTTTCAGTTATTTTGGTAGTTAAATTTTTTAACCCGTGGTGAAGTTCTTAGATGGCTTAAGGTGTTTTAAACATATGAGTCTTTAGTTACAACAGCAGACATTCTCCTCTTTGGATTTTATATATGCTTGCCCTAAAAATGGAATTAAAATGATCAGGAATTTTCCATCTTCGAACTTGTTTTTTATGTTCTGAGACATTTTCGTTTATATTTATCAATATCACTAAGAATTTAAGTCTTAACAAAAGTGTAAAAGAAAGTGTTACATTGTTCTGTGGGGGGGGGGGGGGGGCAGTTTAGACAAAAAGCTAACTATCTTTAGTGTAATCTAAATATTATGCCTGAAATTCTTTTCTGTATAATTTAATGGTTTCAACTGGTGGTTCTTATTTGCATATGACAGTCAATTTTCAATAGCTGAATATGATATGGAGAAAAGATCGTATTGTCAAATCTTTCCCTTCATCAGCACCATATTTAGGAGATAATCAGTATTTTATTTTCAGGCATCAATTGTTAATTTGATGATCTCAAATTGATTTTACTGGTGCATATCATTAGAGCTAGTAAACAGATACTTTCAAATCGACAATTGATGCCTGCAAATCTTCAAATACAATACTGGTATCTTCATTCTAATGCAAATGAAAGAAAGCACTGTTTAATGATCCATTTTAAAATCATAAACATGTACTTGTCAACACAATTTCAGAACATCAATTGTGAATACCCTGAACTTTGTGGCATTATCCAATCAAAATGAACATTACAAATAATGCTGTTTTAGAATTTCCTATCTATAATTGTTCTAGCATGCTAGTTATAACTAAATAATTAACTATATATATTTATGTTCTGCTTATGGAAATGGTTCTGTATTAAAACTATTATTCATATTTTGATTCTAGTGGTCAGGTTTGGATAAAACACATTGAAAACCAAACTGACATATACATTATTGTTAAATAGCTGTAATTAGAATTATATAATATGTTATAAAAGATACATTTCTAAGGAAAAAGTGTTTTCACTCTTAATTTTTTGTTGAAATGATTAGTTATGACATAATGTAGGCTTATTTCACATATATACTTAACATATATACATGTACATGTTTAAAGAGTCACTGCTTACAACGTTTTTCCGGGCAAAAATCGGATAAAGTCTTGGTAATAAATTTCTATTGTGAAAACTGATATATATTATGGTTAGTGCTATTTCTTCAAAAGAAAGGTGGGAAGCTAGGAAGAGAGGTCTAGTTTTTGGACCTTGGTCATTGGTCGTTGTGTATCTATTTGATGTATTCCAGATTTTCTTGAGTTCGGCACCTTTAAAATGATAATTTGTACAAACAAATGTCTCTAAATTTTCTGTAAGAATCAAATTTTATTTTATTAACAGTTTGCCAAACATACAAAGTAACTTATGTGAAACAAAACTTAAGGTGGCATAATCTTACTTTTAATTTACTGAGGAATTGACTTACATTACAAAGCAAGATTACTTAATCAACACAATGTTCTGTTGAAAAAACCTTGATAAATACTGATGATAACTTTACCATGACACAAGAAGTTTGTATACATGTTTTAACAAATATTTTACAGGAATTTCTCATGCAAAGTTTACGAAGAGTGGTAACCACTATACATGGAGGAAGGTGACAACAACTGTACACAATATAATTGTTGGTAAATTATGGGTAGACAACCACGGTGAAATGGATATTATAAATCATAAAAATGGTGATAAATGTCATTTAAAATTCTCCACTTATAGTTATTTCTCCAGGGATATACCAAGAAAGGTAACATTTTACATGTTTTATATATCATACTTATAGCAATGACTTTTTTATGCAGGTGTTTGTTCAGGGTTGTACTTTATTTGAAATTTCACCTTATAAAGAAATATTTCAAAATTTCTGTGTTTTATTCACAAGTTTTATTTTGATTCCAACTATTTTCCAAACTTCAAAGATCCCTAAGTAATGAAGTAGAAAATTAATTTTCAATGACAAATAAATAAATAAATAAATAAATAAATCTTACGTTTACAACCTTAGCTAGTATATTGTGTGTCAGGGAAATAATTTTAAGTTTTATGCCCTGCTGCTCATTGGCCAGAACTAAGGGTCCAGAAATGGTTATATTTGCCAGTCATGACCTAAACTGAAAGACCAATGACCGTAATGACAGAATAGGATTTAGGTCCAAAATTATTTTTTTACAGAAATAATTTCAGTCATTTCATTGAGATCGGGTCTTTTAATCGCCAATTTGCAATAATTTTTAGAAATGCTTTTCTGGTAATAAAACTGTGAGTATAGAATGATAATCTTGAGGGCCCTCCCAATAATCATATTAATGTCTCCATGAGATATTGGCTAATGATGATCAATGAGCTAGATTAGGCACTTAATTGTACAATGCAAAATGATTTTAAGCTAAATCAAACGAGTGAGGGAAACTTTTATATGTTATATTCAAACACGCTTACAGGTAGTGAAATTAAAAAATAAGATGGTTTCCTGTCATTTGATCAAGAGAACAAATCCCATAAATGAATCCCGAATCATTCGTAATTCAGTGTTAACTTGAAACTTCTAGTTTTTATTTCAACTTCAAAATCGAAAGGAGCGTTAGCACATTCCTGAGTGATTACCATTTTAAGTCATAAAAATAATTTCAATTTCAAATTGATGTTTTTCATAACTAGTTCTTTAACATTTTTAGAAAAATGTTAAGCAACTTCATGAAGTAAATACGACCCAACTGTCAATGCAAGTTCATTGATGCCATGAATCTATGAATAATTTCTATAGTTTGAAAAAAGGATCCCAACTTTCAAGTCATCTCAAAATGACCAAAATTGTCCAAACAAATTTACAGATCCTTATCAGAGCATAAAAAGTTACTCATGTTTGCAATTCTACCTTCCTTAATGCAACAAGCATGCTGCTTTCAGGAGTAAGACCAAAGATTAAAAAAAAAAACATACATTGGTAACAGGGCAATCTTAATCTGGATGTTAAGTACAATGAAGATGTTCATGAAATTCTCAATTTATCTTGATAGGTGGTTATCCCATTTTGAAAATGCCTTTCTTGGATACCATGTATGTTTAAATCAAACAGCCCCAAGTTGATAGCTGCTGGATTTTAAGCAAACAACAGATGAATCAAATAAACTTGCACTTAATTTTCCTACGTTCTGCTTTGAAATCTTTTTATTAGCCCTATGAAAGATTATTATTCCATTCACATTATTTATCAGATCCATACAATTTAGCTTTTTTTTGTTCCACATAGGTAACTGGAGTAGTGACAACAAAAGAAGGTGATGCCAAATGGGTATTAACTGGTACCTGGGACAAGAAGATGGAAGGAGCAAAAATATTGCATGTTGATGAATCAAATAAAGGGAAACCAGTATTTGAAACTGGACCACACTTTACATTATGGGAGAAAAAACCTCTGCCGTAAGTAGTTATCATTTTACAAGTTACTGTTGTTGGTGAGTTTTCAACAAATAAATTTTACATGAAAAAGGTTTTTTGAAAGGAGATGTGTAGTTAATATCAATGAGACAGCAACCCAACTGCATCAGTTCTCCAAAATAATTATTTATAGATCTAGATATAGAGATTGAGATGCTTGACAACTGCCCGTGCTGTATGGCAAACCCTGAATTGTCCTCAGTCTTAAAGGATATGCATGAATTCTATAGAGACAAAGATCAACACGCTTTCTCAAATGGAAAAATTCCGAAAAAACAATGACAATTACTGACAAAATTCATGACTTCGGACAGACACATCAACTTTTATGTCAAATAAACTTATCATCTGATGTGAAATTCATGTTGATATCATCAAAGGAGTAAATTCTGTAAGGGCCATATTTGGCCCTAATTATGATGTTCAATGTTTCAAGATATAAAAATGTTGTAAGTTGATGAAAAGACATGTGAGAAAGTTAAATAGCACTATTTTTGTCAAAGTTTTATTTTAAAGCGTTGCTTTTTACATCCTAAACATTTCTAAATAGGTCACAAATAGAGATTTTTACAAAATTTGTCAAAATCTTCCAGATTTCAATCAAATTCAGGCCTAGGAAACATAGAGCGCAGACGTCGACTGACTAAATATTCAAGTCAGATAATTTATGTAAAATGTCATAACAAACAATATCTTGTAAAAGGTCTTCTTTGTCAACGCATAGGCTCTATGTTACCTGTCCAAAAAATCAATGGAGATTTATCTGTTTTCATTGAATTTTCATGGAAGATCAAAATGATTGGGATTTGTCATGTCATGAATAGAACGCAAGAACGTCAATTTTTAACATAAAGACATATTTCCTATCTAGTCATTGAGCTATGATTCATTGTGATATTGGTCAATAAATAATGATTTGAAATTTTAGCTAGAAATAGGTCCATTTTAGGGTCTTATCGAACTTTCCGTGCTTATGTCTTTTATGGGGAGAAGGAGAGAATTATGGAACATGGAATATTAGTTTAGGCTATTCTAAAACTATTTTTGATGACAAAAGACTCTTCACTAAGAGGTAGAGGCATATAATGCCTGCAGATCTTAAGCTGATTTTTGGTACATACATCTAAGTGTTAAATGATTCCTTACAGAACAAGGCTGTTGAAGCTTGTGTCTACTTTAGGTTTACCCACTTTTGGCAGAATTTCAGTTGATTTTTTTCAATGAGGCTTCAGGCAGGGTCATACTGATACATCTAGTTAAAATGTTCAGAACAAAAATAATTCATATATTGGATTGTTTATAGGCCTGGAGCAGAGAAAATGTATTTTTTCACTCGACTAGCATTAGAATTAAATGAACCTGAGGATGGAGTTGCACCAACAGACTGCAGAATTCGCCCTGACCAAAGATTGATGGAGGATGGAAAGTGGGATGAGGCTAACAAGTACAAAGTTCAGTTAGAAGATAAACAGAGAGCAGCAAGAAAGAAACGAGAATTAGAAGCAGAAGAGGCCAAAAAGAAAGGTTGGTATAACATTGTCATATGAGCTGTTTTAATTTTAAGTATACATTACGCTAAGGAGAGGCACTCTCAAAATTGGTAAACCACTCATTGAAATTTGCTAGGTGAGCTATTGAATCAGGTTGGCATCTTTTGTCCTGTCAATTAACAATTTTAGAAATATTTATGACAATGCTTCACAGAATTATTATTCCTTAATTATAAAAAAGAAGATCTGGTATGATTGCCAATGAGACAACTCTCCACAAGAGACCAAATGACACAGAAATTAACAACTATAGGTCACCGTACGGCCTTCAACAATGAGCAAAGCCCATACCGCACAGTAAGCTATAAAAGGCCCCGACATGACAATGTAAAACAATTCAAACGAGAAAACTAACGACCTAATTTATGTACAAAGAATGAACGAAAAAACAAATATGTAACACATAAACAAACGACAACCACTAAATTACAGGCTCCTGACTTGGGACAGGCACATATATACAGAATGTGGCGGGGTTAAACATGATTATTTGGAACTGGTATCACCGAAATAAAGGAACACAACTTGTTTATTCTGGTTACACAAGCTATACCATGGCTATGTTTATTCTGGTTACACAAGCTATACCATGGCTATGTTTATTCTGGTTACACAAGCTATACCATGGCTATGTTTATTCTGATTACACAAGCTATACCATGGCTATGTTTATTCTGGTTACACAAGCTATACCATGGCTATGTTTATTCTGGTTACACAAGCTATACCATGGCTATGTTTATTCTGGTTACACAAGCTACACCATGGCTTTGTTTATTCTGGTTACACAAGCTATACCATGGATATGTTTATTCTGATTACACAAGCTATACCATGGCTATGTTTATTCTGGTTACACAAGCTATACCATGGCTATGTTTATTCTGATTACACAAGCTATACCATGGCTATGTTTATTCTGGTTACACAAATGTTTATTCTGGTTACACAAGCTATACCATGGCTATGTTTATTCTGATTACACAAGCTATACCATGGCTATGTTTATTCTGGTTACACAAGCTATACCATGGCTGTGTTTATTCTGATTACACAAGCTATACCATGGCTTTGTTTATTCTGGTTACACAAGCTATACCATGGCTATGTGTATGCTGGTTACACAAGCTATACCATGGCTATGTTTATTCTGATTACACAAGCTATACCATGGCTTTGTTTATTCTGGTTACACAAGCTATACCATGGCTTTGTTTATTCTGGTTACACAAGCTATACCATGGCTTTGTTTATTCTGATTACACAAGCTATACCATGGCTATGTTTATTCTGGTTACACAAGCTATACCATGGCTATGTTTATTCTGATTACACAAGCTATACCATGGCTATGTTTATTCTGATTACACAAGCTATACCATGGCTATGTTTATTCTGGTTACACAAGCTATACCATGGCTTTGTTTATTCTGGTTACACAAGCTATACCATGGCTATGTTTATTCTGGTTACACAAGCTATACCATGGCTATGTTTATTCTGGTTACAAAAGCTAAACCATGGCTATGTTTATTCTGATTACACAAGCTATACCATGGCTAATTGCACCAATTATCAACAAATTAGTATCACATGGAAACTTTCATAATATTAGTATGTCCACTACATGTCAGGACATGCAAATATTGTCAAGATCATTGAAAATAGAATACATGTACACTTGTTTCAAGTTTGTCCACCGTTCAAACCTATAAAACCTTTTCACATAATTTTTCAGTGTCATTAACAGAAAAAAAATGATGTCAACAAAACTGATTGGGTTATAATTTCAGACATTATGAGATCAAAACAGTGCAAAATTGGCAATGGAAGTAAAATTCTAAGCCTGGGAATTGGTGTATAGTTAACGTTGTAGCTGTTACAATTTTTTCTTGAGAAGTGTGCTATACAGAAATGAAGTCAATAAGGAAATATTACCAGTACTTCTGTGAAAAAGATAGAAAAATAAAGAACAAGTTTAGGATATTATACATAATAGAAGTGTAAAAACAAACAAGCAAACCATTTCAGGGCCTTTTATAGCTTGCTATGCTGTATGGTTTATGCTCATTGTTGAAGTCTGTACAGTTGGTAGTTGTCTTATTGACAATCATTCCACATCTTTTTATTTTTATATGAACAGAGTTCAAATTCCAGTTTTGTTTCCCAGCATGCAGTATTTAATTTGCTTATTTATTTTCAGGAGAAGATTACCCACCTTACACTCCTACATGGTTTGTAAGGAAGACAGACTCTGCCACTGGGAACCCTATACACATGTATAATGGACAATATTGGGACTGTAAGCAGAAACAGGACTGGAACAGATGTCCCGAGATATTCTTATAATACCATGTATTAAATGTACAAAGGCCAAGTGACAAGTGCAAATTCATTATACGCTGATAAATGTGGAGTACATGGTCCATTAGAAGACTTGTAGGTCCAAAGGGTCAGTTCGAGGACATTGTTCTGGTGTTAAAAAAAAAATGTATAAGCCAAGTCTTGTTTAATATATTGTAAGAGACTTTAAGAGAATTGTTTGAGGTCTGAATGGCAGGACTTATGAGATATATTAAGCTCACAATAATGAATCAAATTATATACTGTAAACCAACTAATTTTCACGGATACTTTATAGCCCATTTCGCGGCGATTTAATTTCGTGATTTTTAAATTTACTTGATGTAGTTAAATAAGGAAAGATCCAAGTTTTACATGTTCATGATGATTTATATTCGCGTTTTTTTTTTCTACTTGCGAAAGTCACGAAAATTAGTTGGTTTACAGTATATTTCATGTTTGGTACCCTGTTACAATGTGTTTCATTAACTTTTGATATAAGGAAGTGTAATTGTAAGAATTATTACAAGTACAAGAAGAAAAATTTGAAACTCTTTTGGTATAGCAATAATTTTGTAAAGAAAGGTGCATGCACTTGAGATTTTCAATGATGAATTGTAACTTTTCTTGTTAAATTATTAATCATGTACTAGCATATTGAGATATATGGTATTTTTAGAATTGTTTACAGGCAAAATTTGAATGTTATATTTCATTCGCTCACACTTTTTAGTTTTCAAAAAATCCAAAGAACTAAAAATTATATTAGTATGACTTCAGAAACGAATTTGTGAGACCATAATGCTGCGAAAATTCTTTAATTCATGAATGCTACTTATTGCACATTGTGGAAAAGGTTTTTTATGGGTTTATTTCAATTTTTAACCTCAAACTATGCTCATAAATATATAGAATAATCTTGTGTTTTGTGAATATTAAAATCTGCTACCCCACAGTTACATTCACTTTGAACCTGTTGGTTGGTCGTATTTTTTTCATAGGGTTTGCTGGTACTAAGGTTGTCTGTCAGAATAGTACCTTTTCCCAATTCAATATAATTTCACAGATTTTCAAGAAATTAATGACGGTTTAGTTAGATGTCTCTCTTTAAATGATCTTATCAATTTAAATTTAAATGTAATTTATTGTTCGAATTGGTATAAGATCAGACAAATGTTTTTTGGCAAATTGGTTACATCTTCTCAAAGTAACAAATTTATCCCTTCATTCTATACAATTCATTTATTCAGTATGAGATGATTGATTGTGCCATATTTTCTAAATGAGAACTAGTCCACCTTTGTAGGGTTTTTTGGGAACTAGAACTTAAATGTCAAATCTTAAATGTTTGAATGAAAATTTAATATGTTTATTCAATGAAAAATTTTCTTGCCAAGTTTTAGTATAAATCTTAAGTAGCTAGTAGTTAGTTTTACAGTTAACCTTCTTGGGTGTTTATCTAATAGATAAAATTTAATTCCACTTGTTCCTTATAGTTCAACTTTGAACTCTAATTTTAATAGATATCATAAACAATCTGATAAAAATACGGATCCTGTAACTAAGCTACATTTTGTAATTACTGCCCTCAACTTATTGAAGATATTTGTTGTTTGAAAGACCATTGATAATCTGTTTATCGCTATTTTGCCTATGAGGTCATTCATGTTTACATTGACAACGTCACATGTGCCCTTAGTTTCTGACAATAATATTCCATCTCAAGCGAGTAGCATGATATGAAAAATTATCACAAAAAAAGATCAAAGGAAAAATGCACATAATAGCGATAATTAGCATTACAACAAAAAGGGATTCCTGAGTCACTTAAATCTCAAAAAAAAAATATTAGTATTCATGTAAGCTTTTAAGGATGTTGGCTGCTGAAATTCAATTTGGACATTTCCGTCAATGAAATCTTTTTTCCATAGAGAATAAGCAATACATAATAAGTTTCAGGAAAATGTAGATAAGGTCTGTGCGATTGTTTTTGAGATGCATAAATTTGAAAAAAAAGTACAATTTCTGGAGGGGAAAATACATGTAAGTTTCTGGATTTTCCATAGGAACAGTATTGGCAAATTTATAGATTCAGTGTGATTTAAAGCTTGATATATTGTAAGGATACTTGTCTGTTGAACACAGTTTGTTACCATTTGGATGCCATTTATTTGATTTGTTTGTTGGTTGGTTGCTGTCTCAATGACTTATACCCCATATTTCCTTCTATTCATACTTACATGTTATTTATAAGCACCAAGTTTCCTCTTGTGTCTTGTTTGTTTTGATAGAATTTGCTTCACTATGTTATATTACAGCTTGAGATAAGTGCACACATGGTTTACCTATTTTCTGTCATTCTAATTTTCTACTATTCCATAGGTAACTTTGGTGTTACACCTTTATTTCTTACTTTTCATAGAAATGCACATATATTCTGAATATTTCGTATGCTGGGAAATAACTCACATCAAACTTTAAAGTGAGATTCAGATTTTTTAAATGACTTTTGTTGTTGGGCAAGAACAAAATCAAAAATAATTTTGATCAGAGCCAGTTCAAGATAGGGGAAACATAAAAATAATTTGGATCAGAGCTTTATGCCCATGGTTTCTGCTAGTTCAAGATAGCAGAAACATAAAAATAATTTGGATCAGAGCTTTATGCCCAATGGTTTCTGTCAGTTCAAGATAGGGGAAACATTGATATCAATACAACATGAATTGTCATCGATAGGTTTTAGATAAAAATACATGTATAAAACCTGTTATGTTATTATGTAGCTATACACAATGTTTATAGATTTTTTTATTTTTGCAAACTTTGCTTTATATTAAAGTGTAATTTTGCAATACAATGACAAATAAAAAATCTTTTTTTTGATAAAAAATGTAAAATGAAGCAGTATTATTATGTGAAGTATAGGAATTGTGAATAAGAAAAGATTTGACAGTGACCTAACAAACAGACATGTTTATTATTATTATTTTCTATATTAAAAGAAAATGTGAAAGGAGTATTGATTGTATTGTATACTGTTATGAGTTTACTTATGTATAGGTTTTTTTCATGTTAGTAATTGGATATTAATAGTAGGTTGAACTAGAGAAGAGTTCATTTATTAGAATGAAACATAATTCTAAAAGCAATAACAGAATATTAACTGGTATATATTTAACAGGTGCATAGTTTATTTGTTCTAATGGCAACTTTCAATTTGGCAAAAATTAAATATACACCAAAAAAAAAAAATAGTGGATATATTGTTGTAGCATTAAATAAGACTCTTCATTGTTTTTTAGGGGGCCTTTCACGGGTATCAGGCGTATTTTAAAATGGCTACGAATGCTATCTTATAAAAACACATTGCATTATTTTTGCCTAAGTATAGCTACAGAAATTGTTGTATTGGGATTTTTCTTCAGAAACCATAGTCCTCTCTGATCTGTTTAGTAAATGGCAATCATGATTCAGTCTATGTTAGGGGCTACAGATATTATCTGCAGAAAATACACAAATTGGATAAAAAAATCAGTTTGAGGTTTGAAAGTGCCTTTACACCAGGGAATATTTTTGTAAAAGGGCATTTTTTAATGAATACCTCAGATCTCCCAGTCTATGACATTTGTTACAAGAAATCAATGTCCAACAAACCTTCTTACCACTAAAAATTAGCCAATGAGGAACAGTAAAGATGTTTATTTAGTGTATGGAAAAATATAATTCATATGAAAATATTAATAGTGGTTATTTACAGCATCAAAGTGATACAATTAATTAAGCTACTTTGTCTATCTAATTGTTTTAGAAATAGCAATAGTTATATCAGCTGTTTAATTGCATAAAAGCTTTTTAAAAGATATTTGAGATTTACAGGGGATATCAGTGTGTCTCCAAAGTTTTACACATTTTTCAACTAAATCTTAATTAATTAAAAAAAATCTCTACTGTGGTGATGTCGAAAATGGTTGTTTGAAATTGCTGTACTAACACTTTTACTGTAATAGCCATAAGAGAAAAGATGATCATTTAAAGCTGTTTGATCCTTTTTCAAAGATAATGATTTCTGGGTGCTAGAAGTGGATTCAGACATTTTTTTCTTTTTGAACATGTTGAAAGTACCTTGAAGTTTAGTTCATCTTTTCAGTTTTGTAAAAAAAAAGAAGAATTATTTGTGAATTTAATTTTTTTTACTTTGAAATACAATTCTGCCATTAACAGAATGTTAAAAAAAATTGAATTTTATTTGGTATTTTGGACATTTTTTTTGAGTGGAATATTCATGTATTGCCCATTGGTTCCTTGCAAGGGATTCTTTTAAGATTTTGATTACTGTAAATAAAGCTTGTGTTGCTGTATGGGTAATCACTTTAGTCACAAATATATGTTTTATTGTTATTTATATAAATCATGAGTTTGATGAAAGAATCCATGTTTATTATGCAATGTAGCTTAATTGTGATATATGATGTATTGAGTGATGAGTTCTGTAAAAAAATAAATGTTTTATCAGATACTGGGGATTCATTTATTATTTGTACTTACCAGTTTTCATGGATTGAGGAAAATTTGTATCTTTGTGGATATTTGATTTCATGTTCCCTTGAAATCCACGATAATTGGTATCCAACGAATAATAAAGAATTCTCAGTAGTATGTACATATGTATGCATAGCCTTTTTCTGTCTGCATGATGCCTGTAAATGTTTAACGATGGAATTTGGAAAACAGTATTGTTATAAGACATTTTGTAAGATTATTTGTGAATGGTTTCCTGGCATCATTTCCATAATTGATGCTGTCAGACTGTACTGTCAATTCTGTAAGACATTTTCATTTTACTTTGATACTTTCACCAGAGTTATCTGGTGCTGAAGAAAAAAATTATTACCAGAGACCAACATAAAACTAGTCAAAAGATTGTTTTATACAGCTGATGTTTAATTAGATTTACATAAAGGATATTCCTATAGCAGTTAATGTTTAAACCTACGTTTCTCATACATTACTGCTTTAATTTCTTGATAAATGCATTTTTATTTATCTGTGACCTCATTATATTTCTATTAAGTTTATATGGGAATAACTTGGAAATTTTTGACAATATTAAAACAATGCATTTTCATCAATGTGTTTCAAAATTGTTGTGCAAAACAAATTTTTTTTAATTATTACATGAAAAATCCATGCTGTGGTATAAAAGGTTTTTAAAATTGACTGTTATTCTTATTTTGGAAAATATTGAATGGAACTGTTTTTGTCACTTCAGATTTTTTTTGAAGAAAACGGCTTTCTATTGAAAAAAGTCCAAACATATTCTTTTTGAAATGGTTCATCCTTTCAAGCTGTCACTTTAAACTACCGCTATTATATTTTTTAAGGTAAGTGACACAGAGGGACAAAGTTCATTTTAAAATGTCAACTTATGGTAAATAGTTATATTATTTTGAATATGCTTTGCTGAAGAAAAACATTGTCAGATACTTTATTTGGCATTGAATCCAAGTCAGGTGTTTTAATTCTGACTCTTAGCTGAAGACAAAGCTTTAAAATGTTATATACAATGTAATACTAATACATTAATTGTTGCCTGAAAGCTTGTTTGATGTTACTCAATTAATTTTCCTTGATCAGACAAGGTTTGGCTTTACAATTATCAACATTTATTCGGTATGAGGTGAAATATCATTCACTGCTTAAATATGTTTAAATTTTTGAGAAAAAATAACTTCTGTACTGGAATATAAGTCAGTTGATGAGAAATCCTTAATTAAAGTAAAGCTGCATAGGCCTCAGCTGATCAGGTTAAATTTATTAAGTAATATTCATTGCTTGAAGTATCAGCAGATTAGGTCCAATTAATGAAGTAATAATCGTTGCCGGACTGCTTGTATGATTTATAAGGCATGTGGTTATTCACATATATTTATTTCACAATAATTGTTAATGATTATTTCTTCATTTGTTAACGATAAATAAACCATGTTTGTCAATTGATATTTCTTTTATTAGTAATTAGCTTCAACTGTATGAAAAAAAGTTGAAATTTATACGCCCATGCCAAAATACAAAAAAAAAAATAAAAAAATAAGAAGGACTCATTGATTGCATGTTAAATGTCCAAATAAGGAGATGTGGTATGATTGCCAGTGAGACAGCTTTCCACCAGAGCTCAAAAGATGTTGATATTTAGGGCAAAAACAAATAAACAAATCAACCCAATTCCACTGAGAAACAGGTTATGTTAGATATGGACAGAAATTTTGCCTGGCAAAAGTTTCCCCTATAGACCCCTCAAAGTGTTGTTTGACATGCAGAGAGGATGGTATTTTTTCTGTCAGAGAGATTTGATTTAACATACATAGTTCAAATTGAGATGGTTGTGTATTTATACATTCAACAACCCTCATGCATGGATCAGTAACAGTTTTACTCTTAATGGGGAATAAATCGTTGAAGAAATCAGGCTTATAATTGTGTATGCCAAATGAATACTTCATCTAAATAAGACTCATTAATGGATCATGAATCAAAAACAGTTGGTAGGCCAAATCAATGAAGAAGTTAAGCATTGAACACCAAAAATTCCAAAAGTTGTGCCAAATCTAGAATAACCTTAGTGAAAGATTGGAGAAATCTAGGTTTGCCAACCATATTTCTATACCCCAGTCAACCCTTGGGATGTGAGGTTGTCCCAGTATACATGTATACCTGTAAACATTATATATCATTGAAAACTAAAGATTGAAAATCTTATCTCCCTATAAACAGGAGAAATATTAGATGCTTTGGATGCGTACACATAGTCTGCATAACATCGTGTTCAGATTGTGGACAAAGGGAAATTATTATTTTCTTCAATTAATATGACAAGTAATTTGCTTGGGTTGTAAAAGAATTAGGAATAAATGAGCACTCAGGTAATCCCACATACAAAAACATATCATTTGACAAGGATGAGATTTTGGCGTATCATAAGTCCTTCATTGCTTCAATGAACATAACATTGAACAGCAAATTTGAGGACTTACCTTTTTTTGTATTGGATACCTAAGCTTCACAAAATTCCGTACAAACAACGGTACATTGCCGGCTCATCTGCATGTTCTACAAAGGAATTGTCCATTAGATTGACAAAAATTCTGTCCGCAGTGAAAGAGGGTCTTTAGAAATACTGTGTACCTGTTGGTATTAACAATTTGTTGATTCTAAAATACTCTAAAGAACTTCTGGATAATTTTAAATCTCGATCTTTCTCTGAAATTAATTCTATCAAAACTTTTGATTTTTCAACCCTGTATACCACCATTCCCCATGTGAAATTGAAAAATCGCCTAAAAGAAATAACCAACAATGCTTTTCAATAAAAAAAAATGGTAGAATACGCTATAAATTTATTACATTGGGATATCATACGGCATATTTTGTTAATAGTGAACAAAAAGGTAAAACATTCTACACAGAGGAACAAGTGATCAGTATGCTGGAGTTTCTTATTGACAACATATTTGTGGAATTTGGAGGTAGACTTTTTCAACAAATCGTCGGCATTCCCATGGGAACGAACTGTGCGCCTCTCCTTGCTGACCTCTTCTTATTTGGTATCCGGTCGTTCCGTCCCCAAACCGATCCGGCCCCAAGTCGATCCGGCCCAAAGTCGATCCGTCCCAAGTCGATCCGTCCCACGTCGATCCGGCCCTACGTCGATCCGGCCTCATAATAAAATATGGAATAAACTATATTGACTTTGGAGGATTCGCTGACAAATTTTAATCATTATAAATGGAATTTGTAAAAAGTATCGATGATGGACGACAACAGGTAAGTGAAGTATGAATATATTGGAGTACCAGTCAATGAATTATTTTAAGTCGATACGAAAATGAGTGTGATTGTGTCTGTTTGTATAGCAGCTTCAACATATTAATATGAAGTTATTTTCCATGATAACTTTGAATGTCATGGCGATTTTTATTTTATTTAATTCACACATAGAATAGCTGAATAGATATTTACAGTCCAATGGAACCTATAAAATTTAACTCATCATAATGACTTGTTTAATCAAATCATTAGTCTATAATTGGTTTGTTTATTCAACAATTGTCTGATGATTGTGAACTAAGGTAATGCCACTCGTAATCACTTAATTCAATCAAATCCTGATTGATTAAAGTTATGTAATCCAAACGGAACACTGTAACCACGCTCTGTTAATGTAGACCATGAGTTGGTGAAGAAGAGGTGATGTAGGTGGTACTGTAAGTTGTCTATATGCTGGGAGGATGTGTCCTGCTGGCAGGTAAGATAAAGCTAACACCTAATGAAGGCATGGATGGAGAACAGCTGGTAGAAAGGCTTCTTCGCTTCTTTGAAAGTACCATCCAGGTACCAATTCTTTGCAGTTTGTAGTAGTTGCAGCTGTTCTTGTGTGGCAAACATGATGTGACGCTTGTCCCTGACTGTAACATCCCCGACCACAAAACCATCACACTTAAGAAATACTCTGTTGATCTGAAATGAGTTTAAATAATTTAAAATATTTATTGTGATGAAAAATGATGAAACTCAAAATAATACAATATTTATATAGTATACGGAAGACAATATATCGATGAAACATAAATAGAAGTATATAAAGTACACATTAATTAGTTAAATTAGATAATTAAATTATCATCTTGATAGATGTGATTGAATCAGTATATATTTTGATAACGAATAAAACATAAAAACACCCTTAATTTCATAATTTTAACAAAGAATTAAAGTAAAAAAATATTTTATTTGGAATTTTTTTAATATACAAGATTTGCTCACTTATGACTTGTTGCTGAGTATCCAAGCTAAAAATGTATTAAATCTGATTCATATTCTATATCTTAATTTAAATTTTATTTTGAAAAAAGTGCTTTATTAATTTTGGTAATCATATATAAAAAATGGGCTTTAAAGGCCAGGGAAAGAGTATAAATAGCAGCCAATGACTGAAATAGTGGTAAATTCAAATTTCTTTGCCACATTCATTTCAGAGACATATATTTTAGAATTACCTTGTTCAAAGAGTGATTATTAGAAAAAAAATTGTCACAGAACCTAGAACTGAACTATACAATCTGTTGCAGGATAAATAAAAATTATTAGCTAAGTTTATTCTGTTATATTCCTCAAACAAATCATGAAGCAGAGGTATTTTTCATTTGAAATATACTTTGATTGATAGCTGGGCGGATATAAACATTTTTTTTGTTTACACAGGAAGTAAATGTTGCCATGCAGCCATGCTTCCATGCAAAATATCAACAAACACCTTACCTGTTGTGTTTAAATTATTCAATTCCTATGTAATCCTCATATCCATTTTATATTTCTTTCAAAATTCAAAGAACCAAATAAATATGCAGCTAATTTGCACAAAATTGTAACTACAGTCATAATATTCTATTTCATCTGGTCACAATCATTTTCCCTCCAAAATTGTGTCATATACAGAACAAAGGACTTTCAATTAAAATTAAATAAAAATCCAGCAGCAGAATAAAGAAAATTATTCCCACATGTGTCCCATGTACGGAAACCCACCAGGATTTGGAAACCAACAACGCACAAGTGTCACAACACATTTTGGCATAATGTCTCTCTTGTGCCAGTCAAATCTTTGGGATCTGTGGTCCCTGGTCATGGCATCTGCTTTCATAACTATATATCTATCATCATTCCACGCACCACGATGGAGAAGCATAGTCCAAAATTTTTTGTAGTGTTCCTTTCTCTAACTTGAGTTTCTTTGATGGGGTACTTCTGACTGACCATGCCACCACATTTGTCTGTTTTGTTCATCAGTAATGCATGGCTTACAAAAGCAATATCTGCATTCTACTTGGGACGGGTCTTGCTGTATGACAAATCCAGGTTGGTCATCGTCTTCATCTTTTTCATTATTGTCTGTTTGAGTGCTCTGTTCTGTGGTCATCTGTGGATTTTGTGCATTCCCGCCTTTTTCATTAGTAACAGCAGAGTCATCAAGAATTTTAATTTCCCAATCATTGTGCCCAAACACATTTGTTTCTAATTGAAGATCGCTTAATTCCATTGTAACTTTCTTATCACTCATTTTTATGATTATGTAGAATGCAAACAAACAAAATTTTACTGACTTCAGAGATAATCTGGTCTGGATTTTATCCCCAGGTTATGTGATCAGAAAGTTGCTGACTCTGCAGGTGACCTCATGAAATTTGTACATTATATGTAAACAAGTCCAGAGGCAATTAGGGGATTACGTGTATTTAGCAAGAAATAAAATACTTATTTTTGACAACAAAAATCTAAAATTAATTGATTGAAAAAAGCCATGTAATGATCAAAGAAATTTGCATTGATCACTTTTATTTGTTTAAAAATCAATGAACCCTTTGATACATTTTTCTAAGTTGGCACTAGCTGTAACTGAATATCATGAAACATAATCTCCTGATTATTTCATATCCCATTTCTGCTCATTCCTTCAATTTCTTTCATGATCATGGCTACTGAAAAACAAGATTCTTCACGAAAACGTCCTCCCAATTTTAGAATAGAAATTCCTGGTGATGAGACTGTCAAAAGTAGAATTTTGGAAAAACTTCAAAGAGTAAAGAGTTATTTGACTTCAACTTTGAATAATCCAGTTAACAATAGTTTAGTTATAGAGGAACTTTTAGACTTTTGGATTAAACAACAACTTGGAAGTGACAATTCGAAGAACTTCATCCTTTTCCATCCACCTATTCCCAAACAAGACGCCAGGATGTAGACCAAGGACTGTTTGTTACTGCAGAAAAATCTTTGGTTACATATGGAGAACTTTTTGAAGCACATACCAGTATTTGTTATGGAAAGCTAAAAGTATTGAAAAGAACTATGAAAGGACATGTAGCATCTGTAGGACTGATGTGTACCAAGGAAAAAACACATTCCTATTTATGGTCGTCATCATCATACCTTCCATATGATGA